GACCACAGCTATTTTCAAGTAGGTGACATTTGGTGCGAAACTGGGGGTGGTGTGTTTAGCTTCCGGTACTCGGAAAAGGAGCTGACTAAGCTAGTCATTTTTTATTTTTTTATTGCTGCTCTAAGGCCAAACTGTACACACACGTACAGGTAATAGCTGTTGAATGCTTAGTTATTTAAAAAAAAATTATAACGTTACTATAGAAGTCTATGGGAAAACATTTGGCTGTGTGTAACCTCAAGGGCCGCCGACCACGATGGCTGAACTTGGATAGGCGCTGCAAGAGGAGTGGGACGGACACCCTGAAATCGCCATTGGGAGACTCATACGCAGTATGCCTCGTCCAGTGAAATCAAGTTTGACAAATCGTGGAGGTGTTATGCACTACTGATCCAAAAACGACAACTTTGAAATTGCTTATCTTACCCCAATCGTCCATCAGGATCGTTGGCGGTGATAACATCTACTGTCATACTTCACTAACGGTTGTAATGTGTTCCAAATGCGTTCCGTATTATCTTACAACTACTAGTCTTACTAGAAACAGTAAATTCAGTGTTGGAAACTGGCAGTAATCCAGTGTTGGAATCTGGCAGAAACTCAGTGTTGGAAACTGACAGTAATCGGGGCGAACCGGGATTCGAACCCACAATCATAGGTTTCTGGCGTGCCAACTCTGCACAGCGAATCGCGGCGCCTTAGATGACTGGGCCACCAGTGCCCCTGAGGATGAAATACATCGCCTCTTGTGGCTCTCATGTATGTACACCAGTATCACATATACTATCCCAATGCGAAGCTTCTCGAACAACCAAGCCTGTCGGCCATGTACACAACCACGGTCCGACACCTCTACTTTACTTTAGTTATATAGTAAACATTCAAGAAAGGTCCATTCACTCCTGTTGAATCCGACCACTGCAACACTTAATATTGCTATTTCAGTCTTCCAATATGTTGCTGATATTTACTACCATTATACATACAACAGTGCCTATTGCCACATAACAATATATCCTGTGTTTCCTCGGTAAACATTTATTCCGATAGCTACCAGGTGAAAGGTTAAGTCTAAATTATTGAGGTTGTCGACTGCAAATGATGTTAAACTCATTAAAATGCAGCGTCATCAAATGTTAAACCCAACAAACATCCCTACCTGTAGGATACGACAATGATTACACCTTTGAAGTAGACGATGTCCTTTGCGTGACCTGTTCGCTGTTCGTTGAGGCAGTGTTGACAGCGAAATGTCACTGTAATGTCTCCATCGAATGTACGAACAGGTGCATTGTGTCATTTATGGGAGGTGGTCAGGGTTGTACCTGCTTATCTGAAGTAAGCGTTAACTAGTATCAGTTTCAGGGGTGCAGTAAGAGAGAAAATCGTTTGAAGATTTTGAAGCTAATCCGACATTCGATATGTGTTATTGTAGCGCGGCAGCTCCAACGTTAGTAGTTACTTTAAGAAACACAAGGGGTCAGCGTGTTTGGCTAACGTCTACCAACGGCTTTATAAATATTTACCATATCTATATATTTCCCATTGTTTACATTACCTAGTTTCCGCACAATGTGGAATACACCTCACACACAAGCAGGCAGATAACTTACTATGGAACCCCTGACACGGATATAGTAGTGAGTGAGTTGGGTTTAATGCCGCTTTTAACAGTATTCAAGTAACGTCACGGCGTGTTAGTTTAATGTGGGAGGAAAGCCCGAAGTGATGCAGGTCTCAGACGTTTAAAACTTCGGTGAAACCCACTAGCACGGGTATGGTGCTGACAAAGCTAGAAACATAATCGGGGCGAACCGGGATTCGAACCCACAATCATAGGTTTCTGGCGTGCCTAAGGGACACAACTCTGCACAGCGAATCGCAGTGCCTTAGACGACTGGGCCACCCGTGCCCCCCGGATATAGTAAATGGGTGACGAATGTATCAGAGTTACAACCACTACCAATACACCAAGAGACAATTTCTATCTATCTATCTATCTATCTATCTATCTATCCATCCTTCCATCTACAGTAAACTACGGTTATAACGAACACGCTTATAACGAACTAACGGATATAACGAACTAACTTTTTAGTCCCGACTATATGCTGTAGTTATGCTGTATATATGTTTATAACGAATTACGGTTATAACGAACTAAAATTGGTAGTACCTTTGAGTTCGTTATAACCGTAGTTTACTGTATCTAAATTCACACAAAAAATCACACGAGTTTCAACCACTACCAATACACCAAGAGACAATTTCTATCTATCTATCTATCTATCTATCTATCTATCTATCTATCTATCTATATATATATATATCTATCTATCTATCTATGTATCCATCCTTCCATCTATCTAAGTTCACACAAAAAATCACACGGCACGAATGAAATTATTCTCCTACATGTTAAAAAGATAAAACTGAAACTATATGTCTCTCTCTCTCTCTCTCTCTCTCTCTCTCTCTCTCCCTTTCTCTCGTCGTGTGTGTGTGTGTGTGTGTGTGTGTGCGGGTGTGTGTGTTCATTACTGGTTACAGTGTCAAATATATTCAGAATATAAGTTATAAAGGGACACAACTTATCCCCTACTGTGCTTCACTGATATTCGCAGTTTCTCCATCCCCGACACTTAAACTCCCAGGTAACAGAGGAGGGGGGTACACAAAGCGATATGCACAACCTTGAACTGTGTCCTTCTGTGTGATGGTGCCTGGTATGCATATCTCGTTCCGCCTGAATACATTTCATAATGACTTCGGTTTGTCGTAGTGTATATCCGGCTGCATCACGGTATACCTGGTTGTGCAGTGATTTTCTTATGTTTGCGGGTGATGCATTGTGAACACTTGAATGTGAACTGAATAGCAACATGTCAATAAATTATTACTAAGTGCATGCTGTACATTAAATACCCCAAGTGTTGAAGTCGGACATATACATGTGTATTGGTGGATTGCATGGCATCGTAGTGATGCTCAGGAAACATGAACATAAACATATACGTATATACGTACACGTATATATATATATATATATATATATATATATATATATATATATATATAGAGAGAGAGAGAGAGAGAGAGAGAGAGAGAGAGAGAGAGAGAGAGAGAGAGAGAGAGAGAGAGAGTAATATGTGTATGTGAGGGAGGTTTGTGTTTCAATGAACATAGAGGTTATCACGCGAGTGTGTTTGGGGATGGTAAATATCCTGCATTAGGAATAAACATTGTATTTAACGAGCCTTGGCAAGCTAAATACATAGTGTTTATTCCAAATACAGGATATTTACCATCCCCAAACACACAAGCGTGATAATCTCTTTATCATATAATGTCATTCTTTAATTCTGTGTTTGAACATAGCTTTCCCACTCTCACAAACATTACCGAAACATTGCGAGTTTTCCTGGAATGCGCGCATTAATATTTATTACGTCAAAAGGTAAGTGATGTGTCAGTCGGACTGTGACAGTAGCAAATATAGCTCCAACTAAAATCTGTTTCTAATACAGTTGCGAAGCAACATATACGCAAAACAACAATTGTTTTTACTTGCCTTTCGCGGCAATCCATCGGTCTGTCCGCTAGAGTAACTGCCCTTTGTCAAAGGGAAGCTACTCTGACCTTAGTCTATGAGACGTCACGGCCACGTTCAGACGTTGTTGACAGTCGGTCTGTCCTGTCATAACGTTAAGTACAGTCAGATGTACAAAGAGCGACAAAACGAAACAAGGTAACAATTCAAACATATTTCGGCCAAATCCAACTATTTTAATTTGTGGAAAAGGTTTCAAGCCGCAGAGGTCTACAAGCACAGATATGGCTACTGATCCCGCTTGGCTGGGCCTAGTGCCCTCGCAAACTTGGTTCGAAATTTATATCTCCAAAGTTTCCAAAAGTTATAAAATGCCTTAGCTATATCGCAGTTAGACACTGATTTTCAGTATATTAGACTGTTCTTTTGATAATGATAGCAATTATCCCTTTAGTTTATCCAGATTCCCGATATTCTGACTCGATTGCCGAATGACAAGGGCGACGCCATGTTTGTTTGTAAACACTGAAAGTAGTCCCTACCTGACCTTTGATATTTGCATCTCTATCCGCATATGACCCCAACGGATATCGTTTTTATCCGTTGGCTTTATCCTGCCGAGAAACCAACCCATTATATGATAAATACCAATACCAGTGTGAGTGAATGAGTTAGTTTACCATCTATATACCATGACCCTATTCGTGACCTGACGAGAACAATGGGATCTTCTGTTCTTCCGAAATTTCTAGAAACATGTTATATAGACAACAACATGACAATAACCTAACACAGTGCATGGGAAAGTACAGCGTTATGTATATACATACCTGTATGCAGATCAGTGCTATGTATATACGTACCTGTATGCAGATCAGCGTTAAGTATGGTGACACCTGTGTGCTGATTTATTGCCGCGATCACGACTCACTGTCTTGTCGCTACCCAGAGGTGAGGCGAGCTCGAGGGGCACCGTAGCACACAATAACAACCCCTGTCGGGGTAAGTGAGTCTGCGTTCGTTAATACAATTGGCAGTCTGTAGGGGGGGGGGGGGGGACCAGTGGCAGTTGTGGGGACTGGCTTATAAATGGACCCGACATCGCACACGAGCGTTAGAGACATAGCATGTGATATGCTTGCGTCGTTGGTTTAAAAGATTATACGAGTGCACTTCTCAAATAATTGCGATGTAAATACGTAAGTCTGCTGTAATCTTATTATTTGTAAGATTTTTACATTAGAAAATCATAGTAAACCGATGCAAAATTGTTTCAAACCATAAACGCGAGTCTGTAATTCATTTATGCTTCACATATACATGTACAGTAAACCACGGTTATAACGAACTCAAAGGGACCACTTATTTAAGTTCGTTATAACCGTAGTTCGTTATAAGCATATATACAGCATATATACAACAAATGGCCGGGACTTAAAAAATAAGTTCGTTATATCAGTCAGTTCGTTATAAGCGTGTACGTTATAACCGTAGTTTACCGTATACGTATCATAATCGAATAATCATCCATCCAATATTCATTTACGTACAAAACGTGCCTTTAAAACCAGTTACACATCACATACAAATGTGTCATAATATAAGTCGATTTTGTATCGCAAAAATATGTGTTCCAGCTCTATTCTCTCACTCATAAATCTTATTCAATAAATCCAATTACTTTACGTACCATGCCATTGATCTCATTTACGTTCCAAAAAGACCATTTATCGATAGGCAGAATCTGCCCTTAGGATTGGCGGAATTAAATCAAAGATATATAATGACTGACAAAAAGGGATGTGAGTTTAAAACGGTGCTTATACTTAAGCAAATAGCAGTAGAGTAGTACTGGAAATATTGACATCCCATTCAGGATATGTTCGATCACGTGGTGTGCAATGAAATTACAACCCGCAAGTCGATGTGCTGCGCCAACAGCTGGCAGTTCCCCCACACAGACCACAGCTTGGGTGTGAGACTCCTACATCATCAATATCATCACCATCACCATCACCATCAGCATCACAACCATCAGCAGGACAGGGGACGTTGACTACTTGTTCGGAGTTTCATACTGTAGACTCATGTTGTGAAAATAGTCATGGATCTATGATTAAAGTGTTGCTAGTGGACAACGCATCTGAGCACGGTCTGGGCAAAGCTGTTGGCATAGACGATGGTTTACATTGTGTGTTGATCGACCGGTAGGGCTTACGAATATTGTTGTACCTGAAGCATATGGATGTGACCTGTGTATGTGTCTGTAGATGGGACCTGTGGATGTGGCTGTAGATGTGTTTGTAGATGTGACCTGTGGATGTGTCTATAGATGTGACCTGTGGATATGACCTGTTAGATGTGTCTGTAGATGTGACCTGTTAGATGTGTCTATAGATGTGACCTGTTAGATGTGTCTGTAGATGTGACCTGTTAGATGTGTCTATAGATGTGACCTGTGGATGTGTCTGTAGATGTGACCTGTAGATGTGACCTGTGGATGTGACCTGTGGATGTGATCTGTGGATGTGGATGTGTCACCTACTCTTCACATCATAGTAAACACGTAGAAGGGCGAAAAGCTGGCTTTCCCTTAGTTTTGGAAATTAAATGATGTGTAATCCGCGGGGTCTATATGTGTGCTTTAGCCCAAACGTGTGCGTTGCATTTTTGCTCATATGGGCCATCACTTCCGCGGTAATTCTCTTCTACTCAGCCCACGATCCCCATAACGGTCCCGCGCCCTTGCGTGTGAGAGATGCTTTATCTGGTCCGCTGGGCCCCCTTCATCACAGAGACGCCACTCCCAGACCCCCACACCCTCTGCCTCGCAGAGATGACATCCCTAGACCCCGAGATTCTCTGCATCACAAAGACATCGCCGCTATACCCCCACATCCCCTGCACCACAAAAACGTCACTGCTATGCCACCACACCCCCTCCACCACAAAGACGTCACTGCTATACCCCCACACACCCTCTCCCACAAAGACGTCACTGGTATACCCCCACACCCCCTGCACCACAAAGACGTCACTGCTATACCCCCACATCCCCTCCACCACAAACACGGCACGGCTATACCCCCACACCCCAACGGTCAGCCTGCTCACCAAGGTCAAGGTGAAGATCTCCGGCACAGGAACGAGGCTGCTGTGAAGCTGCTCCGGACGACATGGCCACATCCGTCAAGTCCCTTTCTGCCGAATGTCTCCATTGTGTCGCGACTGTTTGACATCAGTGACGCAGGTTTGTTGTTTAAATTATTTCTGCTCCTAGATAACATCAAGAAGCTGTTGGTGATGGCAAGTCCAGTCATAGAAGCTCTCGATCTTCACATAGAGAAGGTGACTGGATTTCTCGCAAGTATGGTGACATATATCAGTCACTTAAAAATATATTTTGCACACATAGTTTATATCTATATTAGCTGTTTCAGTTGGAAACATTAGGCACTTTATTGAACGGATTTGAAGCTAATTACCTTCCTTTAAACAAAGACATGGCATCCACAAGAGATGTGGTCACACACAGACACACACTCACACAGATACACACACTGCACGCAATCACGTACACACACGTCCTCATACAGATACACAAACACAGCACGCCCACACGCACGTATACACACGCCCGCCCGCACGCACAGACACCACACACATACACTGCACGCACGTACACACACACATGCACATACATAGACACACACACACACACACACACATACACGCACACAGAGATACACGCACGTCACACCTACCCACACACAGATTCACACAGCACGTACATACACATCACCACATATCATTTACGCACGTACACAGAGCCACAGATACCCGCACGCACGTACACACCCACCCACACAGATACACGCCCACCACGCATTTACGTCAACATCCACCAACCCACGCAGCCACAGATACACGCAGGCACGTACACACCCACCCACACAGATACACGCACACCACGCACTTACGTCCACATCCACCCACCCACGCAGCCACAGATACCCGCACGCACGTACACACCCACCCACACAGATACACGCACACCACGCACTTACGTCCACATCCACCCACCCACGCAGCCACATATACACGCAGGCACGTACACACCCACCCACACAGATACACGCACACCACGCACTTACGTCCACATCCACCCACCAACGCAGCCACAGATACACGCAGGCACGTGCACTCAGCAACAAAAACGCACGCACGTACACACACGCCAACACACAGATACACACACCACATGCATGTACACACACCTACACTCACACACACACACAGACACAGATACACGCACTTACGCATTTTTTGTTTCTGAATCAGGACAAATGGGTCGACCCTTGACAATCAATGTCAGCATGTTGCCGGACCAAGAGAGGGCCAAATTCCGGAATGCCTACAAGAGACATGCTATGCATGAATACGTCAGTAACCTCATCCCGGTACACAGACAGCTGCCTGACGTCAGGCCGAAGGGGTAATTATGTATACCAAATAATGATGCATCATCCACTGGGTAGTAAATATATTTATTACAAACAGGGTTCATAAAAATTATTTGTCATCCAAAACTGGCTCCCAGAGGAGATATCGCTGGGGTGAGATCAAGCGATATCTACAGTGTAGATATCGCTGCAATGAAATTGCATCACAATGCTTTGCAGTCCATTGTGACGTCACTGGTTACCATGACGTCACAACCAAATGACATTACTAATGGCTCTGCTACTGAAGCTGTTAACACTACTTTCTACACTTAAAACACTGCTTATCACTGTCTACAAACTGAAAAAGTTGGAAGAATGATATTGGATGATAAATAGAATCGTTGATATATTTGATAACAAAAGACACTCGGGTGAGTTTCTCTATATGTGCTCTGGTGCATATATTACGTCACGTCACGAGACAACGTCAATTCTTTCCGTCATCCTGACGTCATTCGAATCTTATTGTGACGTGAGTTCGGAATGATGTCACACTAGACATGACGCCATAGCTGAATATTATTGTCGTCTTTCGACAAATATTGGTTCTGCTGCTGTTTCTGTTGCTGTTGCTGACTTTCTGTCCTTATAGATAAACACTATAAACCGTCTCTGCATGTAGACATCTTCTTCGGTAATAAATAGAACATAATATGAGTGTTTATGTCATACTATGTTTACACGAGAGTCGTAAACATAGTATGACATGAACATAAATATATGTCATCTAAGTAATTATGAAGATGTATGGGTTTTTGCAACTAACATAAGCCAGTTTGGGATGATACAAATCCGAGGAAGAGTGTTCAGAGTGTTCGAAGGTCATTGTGACGTCATGGTAACCAAAGACGTCACACTTGCCTGCAAAGCATTGAGGTGCAATCTTCGGAGGTGATAATCAAAATTGTTCCTAGCAGATATATTTTTAACATTGTTCATCCTCAGTGAATAATAGGAATAGTTTTACCTAAATCTGATGTCATGATAGAATTCCACTATTACGTTAATAGAGTGAGTGAGTGAGTGAATATGGTTTTACGCCGCTTTTAGACTTATTCCAGCAATATCACGGCGGGGGACACCAGAAATGGGCTTCACACATTGTACCCATGTCGGGAATCGAACCCGGGTCTTCGGCGTGACGAGCGAACGCTTCAACCACTAGGCTACCCGACCGCCCCACGTTAATAGAGATTATCATACGAGCATGTGTGTCATACTGATTTTACGAAAGAAGTGTCAGAATGCTTTGTATTTCCCGAGCGAGAGCGAGGACAATACATTACTTCTTACATGAGTTTTGTAAAATCAGTATGACTCACATCTGAGTGTAATATTTTCTTTATTACTAATTAGGTCTCAATCCCCTGGAGCTCCCCTTTAACCCTCTGGATGCCAGAGGGACATATATGTCCTTCCTCTACAACCCTCACTTTGAAGTCGAATAAAATTCAAAATACATCACCAACACAAATACACTTCACAATTTTGAATAAGGTGGGACATTTCCTGTTCTGTGATATCATCCACTGGCATTTTAGGCCAAGCAAAAGTACTGAAAATGACCTCTGAAAATTAGGTACATTGTAAATGTCGCCATTTTTTACACATTACAAAATCACCGCTCACGGTTCTGGGCCCTGTTCCACAAAGCGATCGTAGCTCTAAGACGATCGTAACTCCAATACTTTAACATAGACTTACGTCAGTCGTAGCGCTAAGATGGCTTTGTGGAACGGGCCCCTGGGTTACTTCTAACCCTATGGGTAATACAACGTTTTGCTAATTATATTTTGGCCCCATATATAAATATGAATTATAAGGCACAATATACGTTTAGTGTATAGACCATGACCACGTGGTGTAAGTATAACAACATGGACGCTGACATTACAGGTCACTCTCCTACCCAGAGTTCCATGCGGCCGGCAGCCAGCCAGCATAGTACCTCTGCCACAGGCCAGCGCCATGTGACGATTCGTCACATCTTTCACAGTCCATTCAAGATATTGCATATGCTTTTCATCCGTTTCATGTTTGACAAGTCTACACATTTTCATAAACAAATGTCAAAGAATGGTTACGGTTCATTAAGAAAGCATCCTAATACGTGAAAATCTACTAAGTCTTGTTTTTGCGTAGTTACCTTTTGTTTACATTGGTTGTACGGCTCCGCGTGCTGTCATCGAAGCCCAACGGAGTGCTAACGATACGGTCACTTCGATGTATAAATATATATTGTTATGCAACTCACTGTCGCAGTTGTAGTAGCATATCTATATAATTATGCAAAACAATATGTAAAGCGACCTCAAATACTTGCATTAGTCCGTTCTACATTGATTTCTGAAAAAGCGCGTTTGTTTACAAACAAGAGAAAAGTCAGGTCACGTGATATGCAAATTAGCCTGTGGCAGTGGTGTTATGCTGAGTCACCACTGCGCCGGAGTGTGATTACAGGTGTCTCTGGCACACATCACGTGACACGATAACGGACTAATCATGAGAAACAAATCGAGCCAAATATACGCAGTTATTAACTATTTCCCCCATTAGACGCGGGACCATACCTCTGTCCAAAAACTAGAAGCCAGGCCTTCATTAGACGCCGGGACTCTAATAGAGGCCGGGTCTACAATTTGATGAAAATAATTATCCCTATCACATGAACTTGTAACACATGTAATAATTACTCCCTTCACATAATAATGACCGTTGCCTGTAAATGTAACTCTTTATGACTTTTGAATTTGGAATTTAGTAAGGTAATGTGTACATTTTTGATTCGCCAAATGCACAGCCATAAAATAAAACATACAGCTACATTATTATACATCAAGTCAATAGATAGGTGTGCACTCGATTTTCATTCTCAGCTCCCTGGGGAGTATACAGCCCAAGCTGCCTGTGAGGCCCTAGAACGTTAACATTCACATTACCATCTCATCCTATCGAATAATGTGAGTTGCCACCGTGACAGGGCGAAACAGAGTAGACACAGGTCCTCTGATAGACGCCGGGTGAACAGCTTGCGCGAAATTAATCGATGCCCAGGCGTCTAAGAGATGAAATTCGGTATGTTCGCAATGCGTGTCCCAAATGGACTTAGTCGTAAGGTCACTTGTACGCCATGTTTATCGCCTATGGAGGGGGTTGGGGTGGTGTCACTAGTGTCTCATGCTGATGTGATGGACACTAGTTAATTATTCATAATGGCAGCGTTCTCCTGCGACAGCCGTGTATTTTGTGTGTTTGTTGTTTAACGCCGCACTCAGCAATATTCCAGCCATATGACGGCGGACTGTAAATAATCGAGTCTGGACCAGACAAATCCAGTGATTAACATTATGAACATCGGTCTACGCAATTGATATATGATGACATGCATCAACCAAGTGAACCACCCGATCCCGTTAGTCGCATCTTATGGCAAACATAGGTTGCTGTGACAACGTGGGTCGTAGTTCAGACAAATATTTAATGATTATCATATTTAAGCTTGAATATGAGCTTTAAATTCAGATCAGCTCCATCTTCTTGCAGCTGCACCCGTCTTCAGCAACCCATGCTTGCCGTAAAAGGCGACTACGCTTGTTTGTAATTATAAGAGGCGACTACGGGATCGGGTGGTCAGGCTCGGTGACTTGGTTGATGCATGTCATCGTATCCCAACTGCGTGGATCGATGCTCATAATAGCTGGAATATTGCTGAGTGCGGCGTAAACAACAAACAAACAAACAAACAAAACAAATCTTGCAGCTGCAGCGAGCGTTATACAGGCCAGCATCTTCCCCAGACCAGCATCGTAATTTGCTTCCTGAATGAGGCGTGGTCTACGTTGCTAAGGACAATCCATAGCGCGCTTGACAACGCCCCGCCCCATCTGGTGAAAGAAGTCATTCTGGTCGACGATCACTCGGAATGGGGTGAGTGTGTGAATGAGTGAGTTGGGTTGACTTTGGATCGTAATTTTGTTATGAAAAAGCATGAGTTTAAGGTGAGAAGAAATACTGGAGAAATGAAAGTTGTAGGCATTTACAACTTTGGTGCAACTCGCGAGCACGGAAGAATAATATTTGAGGCGAAACTTGGAAATAAAAAGGACTAGCATCACGTCTTGGAACGTCAAGGGGATTTACATAATGTTAGTTTTTTTGACAAATCGTGACAAATAAGCAATACAAAAACCTAACAAATTAACTGTTTCACTCTTTAAACCGCGTGTATATAATATGTACTACTGCCACGTATTTGTTTGTTTGTTGTTTAACGCCGCACTCTGTAATATTATAGCTATATGACGTCGGTCTGTAAATAATCGAATCTGGACCAGAAAAGCCAGCGATTGACATCATAAGCATCGACCCACGCAATTGGGATACGATGACATGCGTCAACCAAGTCACCGAATCTGACCACCCGATCCCGTTAGTCGCCTCTCACGACAAGCATATTCGCCTTTAATGGCAAGCACGGGTTGCTGAAGACCTATTCCAATACTGCCATGTTAATATTGTTTAATGTGATATAATTAAATTTTCGTTGTGTTCACTGAAATTCCTGCATTCTGATTAGCTGAACTGGTCACATGTTATTGGGCAAGCATTCATTTCCCAATGAAAGTAAAACATTAAGCCAAGCCCACCGAGGCGCACTACTTTTATTACTGCGGAATGTCGGGGAATCCCAATATCACAGTTGAGGGAATTCCCTTTCTGCTCACGTGTATCGTCATGCACAGGTCATTTAGCGACTTTGATGCATATTCATTGTCCAAACTACCCTTTGAAACCGAAGGCCGAGAATTAATGAAACAGCAAACGTGCAGGCTCGCTAGCCTGTTTTTTCCCGCTCGCCTGGGTTACGTTGTCGAATTTAATTATACGCATTGACTGTATACCGCTTTCGGTTCATTGAGGTATGAATCGAAAAACCGATGTGCAAACTTTTGTAAGATCCACTACGCGGATTCATACATTTTGCACATCGGTTTTTCGATTCATACCTCAGTGAACCGAAAAAACATACACAGTCAATCCTTAAACATCAGAAGCTGAGAATATGACTATACATCATAATGCGTTAGTTGTAGCTGAATTGCTCTTTCTGTCCACCAACCTGTGTTCTTATCAAGCTTACAATATTACTATGGCAGAAGCATCTGTTGTTTCTGTTTCAGAATTTCTGGGAAAGCCACTCGATGATTATTTCAAGTCAAATTCCAAAATACGGATCTTACGTTCCGACGTCAGGAAGGGCGTCATGCACGCGCGGCTGACTGGCTTCCACAACGCCAGTGCACCAATCGTCACGTTTCTCGACTCTCACACCGAGTGTACGCCAGGTATCCATCTTTAGTATACTAGTATATAAATGCACCTCGGTGTGAAAGGTTGAGTTTTCCAAAGTTGAGAAAAGTGATATTTTCTTTCATTGAACATAGCAATTGAAATTTCTCTGCAGTCAAAATAATGCTTCATTTTGATAATACTCTGCAGTGAACATAACACTTGACGGAACTATTGCACACAAGAGTTACCTCCCCGTGTCTATCTAGCCAGTACACACACTCTTGACTTCCTATGTAAATTGGGGCGGTCGGGTAGCCTAGTGGTTAGAGCGTTCGATCGTCACGCCGAAGACCCGGGTTAGATTCCCGACATTGGTAAAATGTGTGAAGCCCATTTCTGGTGTCCCCCGCCGTGATATTGCTGGAATATTGCTAAAAGCGGCGTTAAACCATACTCACTCACTCCTATGTAAATTAGTTCCACCCTGACAAGGCAAAATAATGACAGATGGTCATTTATGGAGTTGATATCGTTTCCTGCCAATTTTTATTCTCTTGAACATGTTTCGTTATAAACTGTAATTTCTCATTTGACAGTTCGTTTCGACATTTTTGTTAAGACCAGCGTGTATTCTTTCGCTTCAAACAACCGTTCCGTAGATTTAAGAATATTTTTAAAAGTTGCTTTTATATGATCACATTCACATGTATGATAAAGAATTATATTAACAACAGATCTATTTCGTCACTTTTGTTTATATTTTGTAAGACTTTGCAAACACGGAACTACTTTTTAATTCGCACTGGGTGGTGAGAGTCCCTGTGTGTTTGGTAGTGAAAATGTACGTTTTAAGGTTTTTCATTTGAAATGGTTGTCTAGGTGACTGAATACGAGGAATAGACTGGTTGTCTAGGTGACTGAATACGATGCATAGACTGGTTGTCTAGGTGACTGAATACGAGACATAGACTGGTTTTCTAGGTGACTGAATACGAGGAATAGACTGGTTGTCTAGGTGACTGAATACGATGCATAGACTGGTTGTCTAGGTGACTGAATACGAGGCATAGACTTGTTGTCAAGGTGAATGCATACGAGGCATAGACTGGTTGTCAAGGTGACTGGATGCGAGCTATAGACTGGTTGCCTAAAGTAAGAGTCATCGACAGATCGAGATATTGTCAGTTGTTTGACGCTGTCATCTACAGGATGGCTTGAGCCCCTTCTGGCACCGATTGCAGCTGACAACAATGTTGTGATGACACCGGCCATCGACTCCATCAACAAGGAGGATTTCAGCCTGTCTGTCAGCGAGATCCTGTTGTATTACGTCGAAATCGACAGCCTGACGGTCGGGGTTTCACACATACCGGACAGGGAGAGGAGGAGGAGGAAGACGGCGGCGGACCCCATCAGGTTGTAACACTGAACAACAGTTGTTTTAAATCACGTTATTACTTGCCCGTGAAGAGATCACCCGTTTAATAAACATACAGCTGTATTACACATTGTGTAATACCAAAACGCGTGCTTATGTACTCTCGGAACACGTTTACGAACAAATATTGATGATAGATCACTGAGAGGAGCTTATGCACACACGATGACCCCAGCAACCTTGTTGCTAAGCTGACGTCACATGGCATTGTTTCGCCGATGGATCTTGCAACAAAATTCCACAAATTACGTCATCGGGTACTGTGACGTTATTGTAAACTTTGAGGTGCAAGGCCCGCTTCACAAGGCGATCGGATTGTAGCGCAACGACAGTCGTTAGTATGTGAGTTGCGATAGTCTTAGCCCTACGATAATATTGTGAATTCTAAAGGTGGACCATTGTATGGTATTAAATTCATACGTTTAAACTTTTGACGTGTTTGAAGTATCATTCTGTTAAACTCAATTGGACTATGCCGTGGATCGTGTAGGTGTCAGCCTATTCACACTCAACAGTATAATTCTAAAAACGTTATAAATGACAAGTAAATAAAATACTGAACTCGCCCCCGTGTAAAACCAATTTTATGAAACTCGTGAACAGTTGTACAACTATTACTCGTTTCATAAAATTGGTATTACACGGGAGCTCGTTTAGTATTCTTTATATATAAGATACCTATGTGATAAATCGCAAAGAACAATGAAGAACGAGGTGTGGTTTATTTCACGATGAAACATTGTTCTATCATGGCGTCATTTCTGGAGATTCGAATATGCGCTCGCAACTTGATGACGTCATATATTGGACGACGTTATTATTGAGACTGAGGTGTCTAGTCAGTTGTTCCCAGATGTAGCTGTGCAACGCAGTTAAACGCAGTGGCCGAACGATCGCATCCAAAAGTGGGAGAGATAAATTATGACAATCGGTATTGGGTGAAAAGGTCCAGATAGTCGAAGTGAGGATTGTGAGAATATAGAGAAATGCAAAACTTAACCCACGTGTTCGTAAAATGGACTTGCCCAAGGTCGGATTCTATTCAGGGAGTCATTATTATTACAATCTTGGTAAATAGTTTTTAAAGCTTGTACATTAAATTTTATCAACATCCTTAATGAGGCTATAAATCATGTCGATATCTCATAAGAAATAAACGACTTGTGATCGTTGTTTATCGTACAATAAACCTCATGGTTCATTCTCCCTGCAGTGTTTTTGTTTTTATTGTATCATAAGTAACTCCCACTCGTCGTTTATTTCTTTAAAAATACTTTTATGACGTCACAAAACTACACATGTTCTAACGTTGGATTGACATCAGCGGGTGACCTCGAATAGATGAATACTACCAAGCTAACTGGCGTTCATTTAAGGATTGACTGTATTTTTTCAGTTCATTGAGGTATGAATAGAAAAACCGATGTGCAAACTGTATGAACCCGCGTAGTTTATTTTTTTACATTCATTTTGGAAATAAATGCAATAGCGCGTGACCTATTCAGCTAATCAGAAAGCAGAAATTTCAATGAACACAACGAAATTTTAATTTTTTTTCCGATGAACGTCAGGATGTCGCGTTATTACCGTATCAATCAAGCGGAGATATACATAACTACTCAGGAAATTCCTCAATGTCAAAAATTTACGTCACATAGGGACAGCATCATCTTATTCCTTAGAGACAGACCGAATTGAAACGTCCAATCGAAGTTTTCAACAGAGAATGTTCTACTTACTAAAAGAAATCACTAAACCCCAGATTGTCGGGAAATCCAACCGCGCCGCCTCAAGCGATAATCCCCGTCATCAGGATCTCATCCAGCCTTAATATGACTCAAGCACACACCCAAAGGTCACAGAATGTTCACATAAATCCATTTTCAAGATCAACCGGACCTGGATTTCATTCTGATTCGAACTTTACTGGGTTAATCTTCTATTTCAACGAATGAAGCCGCCATTTTATTATTTGGCAAGACCAAGGGACGTAACTCCGAATGGATATTTTGGAACGGATAACGTCACGAAAAAATAACTATCCACGTTAATATAGTTTGCTTCAAAAAATTAATTTTGGTGATCAAATGGATTGTTTTGTTATGATTTATGCATCTGTCAATATAAAGATAAGAGTTGTATTTGTTGACGTTCACCAGCTGATGAATGCAGTGCCTCACGTGAGCAAATTTGGAATGTAATTTGCACACGTGTGTCACCGTCTTCATCAGCTGATGAACGTCAACAAAAACAACTTCTATCCTTAAGTAGAGTACGTTGTTCACTGTTCTGATTGTCCCTGTATGTGACATGGATCATCACACCATTATTCTGTCGCTGTATCAGGAGTCCCGGCATGGCTGGTGGTCTGTTCTCCATCTCCAAAGACTTCTTCATCCGATTGGGAACCTTCGATCCTGGAATGTCTCATTGGGGAGGAGAAAACATTGAGATGTCCTTCAAGGTAAAAATATAAAATGTCAATATTTATGGAATGCCGATGTGGCCTTAATTTGGACCTTGATTGACGGGAGTCTCCAGCACCCGGACGCTTCCGTCTACATACTACTATTACCGGATATGGCCATCACCCTCGTTAATCCAGAATTTGTTAATCCTGATGATTTAATATGGACAGGTACCGTCCGGGTCATGCTGTTTCAGTGTATATGGATCATCGAGTCTTGTACAGAGACGGGGCTTGCATAAGTTGTAATGGGTAAATAATAAGATCGACTGACAAGGACAAACCATGGAGGTCAGAGATGGGTCACGTAGCGAACGATTTAACCACTAGGCTACCGAGTATGAGAAGCTGAGAAGGGGTTGAGAGTCGAAAAGTAAATATTGGATTAAATTTAAGGTGTGGAATCTTCAAGAGAGACTCTATGGTCCTCATTCGCACATCATTAATCACAACTCGCAGTCCTTATCATACAGTTATTTTGGTATCTGTGCCCTCGGGACGTCTACGACGTCAAAACGTCTACGATCCTAGTTACTCTGGGTTTACATCCCACATCAAGCGGACACGCCGAGATACTATATTCATATACCTCCCTGGCAACAACAGTGATGCAAAAGTGCGTGAGCCGCTTTCAACAGTAATCAAGTTATATCCGCTTGAAGTGTAAGGAAAGCCGGAAGTGATGCAGGTGTCCGACATTTCCCACTTAGGTAAAATCTACGAGCACGGGTATGGTGCTGACAATCCTAGAAACACAATCATAGGTTTCTGTCGTGCCAAAGGAAAGCAACTCTATTCCTCTTGTTGCGTAATCCTCAGTCACATATAAATTGACATACAATATAATTTTATGTTCTTTTATGCAGAATATATTTCAAGATAGAGAGCGGACGTGAACATAATTTTAAATTGCATCAAAAACACTTCGTGAGGAATGTGAGAACTACAGAATAGAGGTCAAAGAACATACCCGGAGCACATGGTGTTGTAAGCTGCTGTGAACCGGTGCCTATTGGAGGCCGGTTGTAATGGGCGCATATTAGAGGCCGGTTGTACTGGGCGCATATTAGAGGCCGGTTGTACTGGGCGCTTATTAGAGACCGGTTGTACTGGGCGCTTATTAGAGGCCGGTTGTACTCGGCGCGTATTAGAGGCCGGTTGCACTGGGCGCTTGTTAGAGGCCGGTTGTACTGGGCGCTTATTAGAGGCCGGTTGTACTGGGGGCTTATTAGAGGCCGGTTGTACTGGGGGCTTATTAGAGGCCGGTTGTACTGGGCGCTTATTAGAGGCCGGTTGTACTGGGCGCTAATTAGAGGCCGGTTGTACTCGGCGCTTATTAGAGGCCGATTGTACTCGGCGCTTATTAGAGGCCGGTTGTACTGGGCGCTTATTAGAGGCCGGTTGTACTGGGGGCTTATGAGAGGCCGGTTGTACTGGGCGCTTATTAGAGGAAATACTGTATATTGTATTGCTAGAAAGTGTGTCGTTGCCGACCTCGGCGCTGTGTGACTTCGACCCGGTTCAACAAAGCGATCTTAAGGCTAAGACTGCAGTAAGTCCGTGTTAACGAATGTGAGTTTTAGTACAAAGATCACTTTATTTCTGAAACAGGACCGAGGGCCTGTTCCACGCTATGATCTATGATCGTATGTTAAATGTTAGGGCAGTCGTAACGCTGTAGATTGAGGCACATGCTATATTGCAGGTGTGGATGTGCGGGGGGCGGATTGAGGTAGCTCCTTGTTCCCACATCGGCCACGTCTTCCACACCCACAGCAACTACCCTGCCAGAACCGGCGTCAGTGCCTCTGTGCGGAACTACGCACGCGTGGCTGAGGTCTGGATGGACGACTTCCGGCGATATTACAAGGGGTACAGAGTAAAGCACCACCCCAGAGTCTATGTAAGTATGAGACGAGGTGAGGTGAGGTGAGATAGGTTTTACGTCGCGTTCAAGATTATTGTATTTATATTGTGACGTTCATTCACATATGTGTGTGTTTGTGTGGCTGCTTGTACCAGTCCGGTTGGAGTAATACCTGTTTAATAATACTAGCCTACTAAGATACCATGTCGCAGTTTACTGTGTATACCCCTCTTAGCCACAGTATACTGTCTCCGAGCCCATCATCCCCTTAATGCCGAGCGCCAGGCATGGAAACAACAAGTACCTTCCTGTAACATATTTTGGTATGGCGTGACCGACATTCCGCTCCTCTGCATGCATAACGTATGCAGACATGTTCTGTCTATTACTGATGAGACTTTATCCGACATCTTTTATTCAACCCACATGGATTCCTTGTCAGATACCCATTTTTTCCGTGATGGAGCAAAGAGCCGATTAAATGAGGATTGGTTGGTCATAATGTACGACCTTAACAGCTTTGTCAACATGATATGGATCTCCTGCAGGCTGCCGTGATATAGCTGGAATATTGCTGACTGCGGGATAACGTTACTGCAGCTTTAACACAGTACCATCAATTAATATGTTTGACTTCACCTCCAGTACGACTATAGGCTAACCTGCACAATGTAAAATGTTGTTTACAACCTAAATTGGAAGAAATAATATTTTACAGTACTATCAATAAATAATAAGTAGATGTTCACCATATTTTGATTTATGTTTGGCCCCAGAACACATTATCTTTCAGAACAAGCATTTTCGGGAACATAATTTCAACCCGATAGCGACCCCCAAAATACCAAAAGGTCAGCCCCTTAAGGCAATTATAGGACGAATGTGTATTAAGACAGTATACAGTTTGTTACTACTTTCTGACAAGGACCCCGGCGACGTCTCCGAGCGGCTGCAGCTGCGGGAGAGGCTCCAGTGTCATCCGTTCAGCTGGTACATAGAAAACATCTACCCCGAATACAACATCAGCATCAAGCCACTGCTCACTGGACAGGTAAACCGACCTACTGGGTCACGTGATCCCCACTCTCCTTAGTCTGTCACAGTCCCTGAACCATATTCTCTTCCCTTCCGCCAGCCCTGACTACACTGCTATAGTCCTAAATGAAGTAAGTTTCTATCTCAAAGGCGTTCCTTTTCAATGTAAATGTTGCTGCTTATTACTATCATCATCGTACATTTTTAGAGACTAAGCGTTAGTCTGGATCCCCTCTACTTCACGCACTGGCGTCTTCCAATGACTGGATAAGAATGTGTCATGGTGTTAAATGAGCGTATATGAAAATAATAAATGGGTTTCAGCTTACCTCAAGGTACGCCCGTTGTGTCTTAAACACCATTTGACAAACAGACATGTTCTTTATTCTCGTCTCACCTCCATACAATCCATAAAAATACAAAATTATAATACATAATATATACTGTGTATAGAGCCACTATATGGGGGACATTAAAGTCAGTAAAGGGTTATATAAACCTATATATAATACATGACATTTTAATAGCATTAACTATATAAAATATGTTTTCTCGATGCATTTTAGGTGGCACGGGTGGCCCAGTCGTCTAAGGCGCCGCGATTCGCTGTGCAGAGTTGCGTCCCTTTGGCACGCCAGAAACCTATGATTGTGGGTTCGAATCCCGGTTCGCCCCGTTTCTAGGTTTGTCAGCACCATACCCGTGCTCGTTGGTTTCACCGAAGTGGTAAACGTCTGAGACCTGCATCACTTCGGGCTTTCCTCCCACATTAAGCTGACACGCCGCGATATAACTGGAATATTGTTAAAAGCGGCGTTAAACCCAACTCACTCACTCGATGCATTTTATCATTGTCACACAAATCTAAAAAAATGGGATAGCTGAAACTGACATTTCCATGCAAGCCCTCACGCGGATCATCAAGGGTTGGGTAACAAACGCGGATCATCAAGGGTTGGGTAACAAAACGTGTCTCTCATCCTTACTATTTTCAGTACAATCTAAACACACTCTTTCTTTCACATCCATAGTTATGTACCTAACAGTTGCTTAACTTAAAGTGGCTGTGCTGCATCTAAATTTGGAGAAAGCTGAACGATAAGAACGGGACATATACAAGCTAACACGCCTTTCACATCCATACACATATTTAAATATTCTGCACGTATGTAACTTATTACATCCCGTTTTTCAGACTGACTTGCATAACAATTCATATGAAATCAGACACATACTTTTTCATTCAAATATTCTGCACATTATTACACACCTTTTGATGACGTTTTGTGCATTTCCTTAAACATTCACATTCCATTCGCTCAATTTTACCATCACACGAAAATTCCAGTTTTTGTAATCTTCCACTTGCATATTGTTCTGATCATTTAAAAACACGCCAATTGAATCTAAAAGGCATATTTTGGAGACGACGAAACAGTCTCACAATACATACCTACTGTCTAACAATCGGAGGAATCCATCCCATATCTCCATTAACAGGAACATTGGGGGCGTATTTACCCAAGCCTAAGAAGAACCCAAGGGCACGACGGTGGACCGCATTGACAGCAGATACTTCGCAATGACCCCAAATAGATGCTCCATAACTAATTATCGACCACACCATAATTTATAATAGATAGTGGACTGCATGCCTCTGATAGCCTTGTATTTACAATTAAGTAGACCTCGCGCCCTGTCAGCAGATTTTGCATTGCATTCTAATGCAATAAGATGTTCAGTGAGCATAAGGCGTAAGTAATTATAACAATCAACAACACTCAAAAAAGAATTATCACAACTAAAAACAGCTGTTGTTCTTATAACGCTAGCATTTCTAAAATGTACAGCCTTTGACTTACCTATACATCGGGTACTTTTAATACTTGTACTTTTAATACTTGTAGTAGGGGGCACGGGTGGCCCAGTCGTCTAAGGCGTCGCGATTGGCTGTGCAGAGTTGCGTCCCTTGGACACGCCAGAAATCTGTAATTGTGGCTTCGAATCCCGGTTCGCCCAGATTGTTTTTCTAGGTTTGTCAGCACCATACCCTTGCTCGTGGGTTTCATCGAAGTGGTAAACGTCTGCGACCTGCATAATTTCGGGCTTACCTCCACATTAAAAGCGGCGTTAAACCTAACTCACTCACTAATACAATTCAGGTCATCCGTTGTATCTGCAAGTAATACAAGATCGTCTACACATCTAAAGCTGCACTCGGAATATAATCAACAATGCCAATGCCAGTATTATTAGCTTATCAAGCAAATCGTTAATTAATAAAACAACTGAACAATCTTGGATATTGAAGCAATAACCATTTTACCCTTGACACCAATACCGTTGACCTTCTCCCATTGTGTATTTCTGTTAACGCAATCATTTCCCTTGTGGAAATCAATAAAGACATTTTTATAATTTTCTAGTTTCAATAAAAAAAATAAGATTCACGTAAGTATTGCATTGTGAATAAAATAACAACGATAAAACCCTTTCCACAGCCACAGGATATCGCTGCTGAAGCAGAGTAGATTGTACGATTCTGACCATGCCATTCGTGACCAACTCGTGTTATTCCGGGACAAGCCGAATAGCGACTCGTGCCCCTCTCGTGGCCATTTTTGCGACCGGGTTCCGTCCTAGCGCAAACGGGCATACCTAAAACAATTGTCAATTCGTTGCGTAATTCTTCACATATATTTCCCCATATATTATATATATTTCAGATGCAATTTAAAGCACATCGGGACGTGCGGAATTATACAGTATGACTGAACACATTTAACTGTGTCTTGGGTATATTTTTATATGCAAGACATATGTGAAATCAAAAATTATTTCTGAGGGATTCTTTGATGAGGTACTTGAAATCATACGCGCATTCTGATTGGTTTGTCGTTTTTTCGCACATAACATTCATCGATAGGGGGACGAGTCTTCTTGCAGGTTACGGAAAGGGGCGAGTGGTGACGAATGTGACCATGCCATGAGCATGTGTTTATGAATCAGTATCAAATAGTGACGATTCCAGGTGTTCGCAACGAGGGGTAAACTATCTTGTTTTTCCAAAACTTTCAGCTGAAATGTGATGGTATTCCCGGTGCCTGTCTGGCTGCGTCACCGGACAGCCACACGCCTCGGCTGAAAATGCAGCCATGTGACAGCAAGGGATTTCAACAGGTCAGTCTTGGAATGGTAAAACCCTATTATTCCGTCCCCCGATAGTCCGGAAACTCCGCATACCGGACGATTCTTTCGATACGTTGCAGCGTATAAAGAGACATTGCGCCCTACAAGTACCAATGATTCGTTAACCTGTGAATGAGTTTACTTGAATCCAACCGCCGGGTTAAAGTGGTCCCACTGAATGTGGTAAGACAGCCGAGGAACGTTATCAATGTGGAAAATAAGGCACAGTCAACATCAGTTGCCTCAGTTAACTCAATGTACCGTTGTGATAATGCGTGGTTGTCAGGTTTTATAGTTTATGGACTCTCACACCAATTTAGACGGCCTCCATGGTCTAATGGTAGAGCGTCCGCCCGGAGAGCGGAAGGTCCGGGGTTCGATTCCCGGCCGCGTCATACCAAAAGACGTTAAAAGATGGTACTTGTTGTTACCCTGTCTGGCGCTCGGCATTAAGGGGCTAAAACAAGGACTGGTCGGCTCGGAGTCAGTATACTGTGTCTGAGTGGGATATTCATGTTAAACTGCGGCATGGTATCTCAGTGAGCTAGCACTATAAATTGGCATCAGTCCGGACTAGAACAAGCAGCCACACAAACACACAAACGTACATGCACGTCGCTATATAAGTGCAATAATCTTGGACGCGACGTTAAACCCCATTTCACCTCACCTCACCACACCAATTTTATGTATGGCTTTTCGTGGGTCTTTGTTTTGTTTTTCTGCCACTGATACCACACGTTATGGAGCTGACAAAATCCTATTGCCAAGCAAAGCACCAATGCCAAGTTCTGAATATGATAAACTGATATTAATATCAGTCTTTGCTTTATAAATTGATTTCATATCTGTGCATGTTCTGCTCTCTTGCACGCTCCTCAGAAACACCGTGTGTGAATCCCTGGAGAGTATAGGTACTGTCACCCATGCTTGTAGGAACGGACCAGCTTGGAACAGGGGGTAGCATCGCGTACCTGGCTGATTTAGGTCCTCGTGCTCATACGACGTGGGCTCTTGTTTACGCATTCATGCATATCATCATTTCTTTACTAGCCGCCGTGATACAGTTGGAATATTACTGGCTGTAGCGTAAAACAACATTCAGTCACCCAATCCTGATGGAGACTTCTGTCCCTTTTGTCATGGCGCTCATGTACGCTCTTGCTCTAACAGCTGTGGAACTACACTAATCTGAACGAGGTGATGACAGGGAAGTTATGTGTGGACCACCAGAATGACATCACCCTACAACAGTGTACCGGCAGAGGAGGGCATGGCAGGCAGATATTTCTGTATAAGGTACGTGATTGACCCATGTTGAGCTCAGTACTTTTGTGTCCGGGGTAGATTAGGTCTTCAGCAAACCATGCTTGCCGTAAAAGGCGACTATGCATGTCGTAAGAGGCGACTAACGGGATCGGGGGGTCAGTCTCGCTGATTTTGTTGATGCATGTCATCGTATCCCTATTGCGTGGATCGATGCTCATGATGTCAATAAATGGATTGTCTGGATTCGATTATTAACAGACCGCCGCCATATAGCTGGAATATTGCTCGGTGCAGCGTAAAACAACAAACAAACACAACTTGTATGTTGTGTTGGGGCGGTGGTGGTGGTGATTAAAGCGAGTGTGGCGTCACATATCTTATGTCGTGACAAAACACATTGCAGTGCACAGCTGTAGCATGATGTGATGCTTGTACTGGCAACTACGCAGGGCGTCACAGTAGGCGTAAGTTGAAAGGCGGTCAACGGCTACCTGTTCTGACATTAATTAAGCTGCACTGTAATGTGAGTGAGACGTTTCACTAGAGGGATGTATGGGATTGTACGAGCTGGACGATCGTGTACACGACGTATTTTCTTCGTACAGAGACGTATTCTCGGATAAATATGTTTTTTTGTGACAGTATCAGATCGGCCTTGCGTTCAGTGTGTTCGGTATGGTGACACAAAATGTAAACTGGGGCAACGGTCAATAATGACGTGAGAAGTAGAAGCAGTCCGTAAACGATGATGAGGTGAGGTGAAATGGGGTTTAACGTCGCGTCCAAGATTATTGAACTTATATAGTGTGTGTGTGTGTGTGTGTGTGTGTGTGTGTGTGTGTGTGTGCTAGTGCTAGTGCTAGTGCTAGACTGCACTGATGCCGATTTATAGTGCTAGCCCACTGAGATACCATGCCGCAGTTTAACATGAATACCCCACTCAGACACAGTATACTGACTCCGAGCCGACCAGTCCTTGTGTTCGCCCCTAAATGCCTAGCGCCAGACAGGGTAACAACAAGTACCATCTTTTAACGTCTTTTAACGTCTTTTGGTATGACGCGGTATGACGACGAACCCCGGACCTTCCGCTCTCCTGGCGGACGTTCTATCACTAGACCATGGAGGCGGGCTTGATGATGATGATGATGATGATGGTGATGGTTATTGTCCTGTCAATATTGTTAGATTTGTGTCCGTTCACGCAGACCGACCACCTATATGGGGTTTTACAACACGGCAAATCAGATGGCTTGATTTTGTTACGAGGATTGACCTATTTTACGAGTCTTTGGTATCTATTCGAGAAGCGCACATATAAGGACAACCTGTTGCTGTTAAATAATTATCCTTGCCTTAGGTGGATATCGTCACTGGTATTAACTTACATCTGACTACTTCCTGCCTAGATGTTGAGGATGGAGCGTTGTCTGATGCCGTGTAATTTTGTTGTTGTCAGGACCAGCATCTCCGGTGGCACATGGACAAGTGTCTTACAGTTGGAGTAGATAAGATCTCGCTTATCTCTACAGACTGCCAGGATAGTGCCAACCAGAAATGGACATGGACCAGTCTTTTGTGATGAATGCGTTTCATGGAAAGAAATATATTTATATTACGACTGATTCAGAGGAGACCTAAATTGTGGATGTGTTTTACAAACCACGAGAACATCATTTGCGTCATTGAATAGCTCTACAAGATGAATGAACCTGTGAAGATCCGGGTTGGAAAAGGTCTTCAGCAACTCATGCTTGCCGTAAAAGGCGACTACCGGGATCGAGTGGTCAGGCTCGCTGACTTGGTTGATGCTTGTCATCGTATCCCAATTGCGTAGATCGGTGCTCATGATGTCAATCACAGGATTGTCTGGTCAGGTTCGATTGTTTACAGACCGCCGTCACATAGCTGGAATAGTGCTGAGGGCGGGGTTAAACAACAAATAAACAAACAAACAAACAAACAAACCGCTGTTGAAAGACCACGAGCACAGTTTAACAACAATAAAAATAATGCCTTACGTAATGTATTCTCGAAGCGCTGAATTTTTGTTACCCTTGACAATCAGTGTGTACTGGATGTATTTTTCATTCTCAGCTCCCTTGGGAGTATACAACCTAAGCTGTCTGAGTGTTAATAGTGGCACATTACCATCTCGTCCGTACATGTACTGTACCAAGTCACTGCTTGGTGAACAGCGTCACATGCCTCAGGAGAGAATGGATGTGCAACTCGTGGTTCAGTTATATGACGTTAATAACGTTAAACTACCTCCCTGGGTAATGTTTAATGCGAACTACATTCCCACTGACCATGTCTGGCATCTGTCGTCTAGTTGTAATAAACGATGCTAATTTAACAACGGTGTCTGAACGAGTATCAACTTACTATCGTCATGGGCATATGTGGACACTGGATTGTAGCTGAATTGCTATACTGCAGCATGAATAATGTATAAATATGGAATGAATATGGTAAGTGTAAATGAATAAATGAGTGACAGTCTAACTAAGATCAGTTCACTCCAATACGATAACTCTCAGTGTGAGGCCAAAGGTCGCGTTTGGTAAAATTTTCTATTCAACCAATCAACATCGAGGATTCTAAATTCAGACAACCTTGTCTTATTTCTATATCTCGAACACGAATATAATCGAGGAAATCCGAATACCAAAATACAGTGCCGCGCTATTACATTGAGGATAATTTACACTTCCTGTCGACTGTGACCGCCATGGTTTCTACACAAAACGGTCACTATGGAAGGTATATTTGAGATCGTTGGTGGTTTGTTTGGCACAGATTGAAATTCCGAATCGAGACTGTAAAAAGTGAAGCCAAATTATTTAAGAAAGCTGACATCTGATTGGCTAAAGAATCCACGTATCCTTCATTTCGATTGGGGTTCACCTGACGCAAACTTTAATGGAAGATTCGTCAGATACGCATCGTATCCAAGGAAAAGATCTGAGTTTAATGAGATTGAAGGTATATCATTGACCTTCAAGGGAAGTTTCCTCAGAGGGGTATCGTATCCAGGTAAAAGATCTTGTTTTGATGAGATTGGAGCTGTATCGTGACAAAGTGGGAAACGATACAAGAACTTTGTGAGTAAAAATCCCGTGTTTTCAATGTAGCGCTGTCATGTTACCTGTCGCTCTTAATTGCTGCTGTTGTTGAGGATAATGTTTACACTTGCTGGAGTTGACGTGACCGTATGAAGGGGTAGTGGGCAATAACACGGGTGGGTCTAGGGAATCGAACCCGGGCCTTCGGCGTGACGAGTGAACGCTTAACCACTTTAAAGATCATCTATAACAATCCTTTAAATGCATCCAAGGCGAGCTGGTATCAGGCCGCAATACTGAGTTTAGATCTATGCCGAACTCGGGAACTTGTGATTGGTTGTTTATGTCAACATCATGGGCGAGACAAGGTCTGTGTTAGGTTAGTGTTAAAGTGAGATGGGGTTGGTGACGTCACTTCCAAACCGAGGCTATAGTGGAGGAGATACCTTATGTCATACCCTGGACAATGGAGGATGCAATCTGAAATGAAACGTTTCCCTTGCCTCTGAAACGTTTAATACAAACACATATGCTTATCTTTTTTCTGTTTTTACTGTATTGCATCACTTAGTTTGAATGTTAGGAACCGCGTCTTGTAAGCTACGTTTCTAAGTTATTATTATTTGAGTGAGTGAGTGAGTGAGTTGGGTTTAACGCCGCTTTTAACAGTATTCCAGTTATATCACGGTGTGTCAGCTTAATGTGGGAGGAACGCCCGAAGTGATGCAGGTCTCAGACGTTTACATACGAAAACCCACGAGCACGGGTATGGTGCTGACAAACCTAGAAACATAATCGGGGCGAACCGGGATTCGAACCCACAATCACAGGTTTCTGGTGTGCCCAAGGGACGCAACTCTGCACAGCGAATCGCGGCGCCTTAGACGACTGGGCCACCCGTGCCCCCTATTATTATTTGAAAGTGACAACCGAATATGATTGAGAAGTACTTTCAAAATAATATTAGCTCACGTTGTGACGCGGCTGTTAAGTTTTAAACACATATCTTTATAAGATATCGGAGCTGGAGCCTCAGTAATCACTTTATTCAAGTGTATTGTAGGCGATAGGCCCATGATACCAACGGTAAGTGTACAGTGGAAGTTCGAGGATCCCATTTATGTATTTAACAATGATTCTCTAAGATACATGGCTTAAACAATAAACAAAGAAAGACTTTGTACAGTTGCTCGATGGACAGATGACATTAGGATGTTGAACTTTTGCCTTTTTGGGAATTCATAATATTTTCTTGGAATAAGTTCTGCCCTCAGAATCTGGTAACATTATTTGCATATTAGAATAAAATGGTACTCGTCTTCAACATAATTGCATTTACATACTTTGCAAACTCGTTCCACTCTAGGTTCCGTTTTGTGTCGACCAGATTCGATCCGAAGATGATGGGAACTACACCGTAATCTAGCCAGAGCATGTCTAAATTTCTCTTGTGGTAACACGGTAATATATAATTCCAGGCCAAACGTTTGCTTATACAACGACTAGTTATATGATTTTGAGCTTTCTGAAAGAGCTCCATGCCAGTCTTGTTCATATGAAGATTTAATCCACATAGGAATTCATTTATAAACATGGGGATATTCGTAATACATTGGTGCTCCCACACAATGCCGAAACCTGTCGGCTGAATAATACTTCTAATTTTTTAAGCGCAATTAATTTTACCCTTTTGGAGCGCCTGAAGTTGAATATTATAACATTTTTTGACATATCGTGAGTCAGGCATTTTCAAAATATTACACCAGTATTTAACAGCTCTTGTATACGCATAAATATACAGCAGATAACGTCCACATTCACCTCTCACAACATGATTGAGTTTCGAACTCCTAAATATCGTTTACAAGCAAACATATGTACGCTGTCAATTTCGTTACAAATGTCAGGACTCATGCCCCATATTTTTTTACCCATATAACATCATAGGAGTGATTCTGGTATCAAATGTTTTAAACAAAATATTAAAGGATAACGGCTTCAGCTTTGCTAAAGATTTGAATACTCCTAATAACACTCTCTTTGCTTGTAACGCTGCATCCTTTACATGTTTACCCGATGATAAAGACCTGGTAAATGTTAAGCCTAAATATTTATAGGAGTTTTCACAAGCTATGTCATGTTCCGAATACCACACTTGGGAGTTGCATGGATTAATTGTTTCTTCATCACTGCTATATCCACAATAACCTATATTATAAAACATGTTTTTGTCTCCGCTTTGCTCTTTCTAACAAAACATACAACGCATACAGTAGCTCATCGGCTCTGCAGCTCACCTGATGTAAAAACAACATTTATCCCTCAGGATGTATTGAAGAAAAAGTGTGATATATATAACACTATCAATATCAACAGAGGCATCAGAATGGTATAACATTTAAGGGGTGCGTCAATGGTATCGTCTTCCCTTGGGGTAAAGGGAGTAACATCAGCGGCTCACGTCAGAACAAGCCGGGGACACATGGGAGCCCTGCTGAGCTGAATCAAGATGAACATATGATTCGTTTGTTAGTTGTTTAACGCCGCAATCAGCAATGTTCCATCTATATGAAAGCAGTATGTAAAATAGCAGCAGTGAGTGAATATGGTTTACGCCGCTGTTAGCAATATTCAAGCAATATCGCGGCGTAGGACACCAGAAACGGGCTTTAGACATTGTACCCATCTGGGAATCGAACCCGGGTTTAACGTCCAGGCTACCCCACCGCCCCTTGGTTGACATCATGAGCATCGATCATCGATCATACGATGACATGCATGAACCAAGTCAACCAGTCTCATCACCCGATCCTGTTAAGTCGAACAGTATGGATCATAAGGTGTGGCATAAGTATGGTGGCCGAGAAGGGACATTGCTTTCTCGTTTTATCGCTTTCTCGCTAAAGCTATGTCCCCTCTTGACCACTATAGGGGGGCCGCATGTGCTATTTGCTAATAATACTGACAATTATTTTTCAATATATGATCTATATGTAAATCATTATCTATTCCAGTTCAATTTATCCTTTAAAGTTTCAGTTTTAAGATTGATGGAAGAATGGGATGGTATTATGAACAAAATGAAAATATGAATAGCGACTATTCTGTTGTAGTCTGTGAATCTTGCTTATTTATTACACTACAAGAAAATAAACACATGCGTGTTTTCAAACTAAACGAAATAGCATTATGTATGTATATGTAACATATTTATCTACTACAAGATGTTGAACAATATAATTATAAGAGGCAAAATACCGGTGAGAATTATAGGAATGGATAACTGAATATCAGTAAAAACGTTTTAATGTACAGCATTAAGGGAAATATCGCTTTCTCGCTCTATTGCTCTATCGCTCTATCGCTCTATCGCTTTCTCATTCTATCGCTTTCTCTCATGACTAACCATAGTCATATGAAAGAATCGGGTGTTCTTCAACTTATTTTGAATAGTATGTACTGAAAATCTTGAAATTAACGTTGGAGTTAATTATAAATGCAAAAAATGAGAGTGGACTTAATTAATTAAACTTTGCATTTATGTCTCAGAAATGACTGTTGATAAGGCAGTCTGCATATAGTCGAGTCTGGACAAGACAATCCAGTGATGGACATCATGAGCATCGATTCACGCAATTTGGATACGATGAAAAAGTCAGCGAGCCTGACCCAGCCGGTCCCGTTAATAAGCATGATTTGCTGAAGATCTGTTCTAACCCGAATCTTCACGGGTCTACACACTGTGAATATGTGGGTGAGTGTATGTTACCTTCCCCCATATCTCCGGCCATACAAGTTATGGGCCAGGCGAACGCTGAGACACGGCCGTGTCATACATTTGAATTTAAATTAATTATCCCTAGGGTTTTTAAACTGTATGAGTGACAAATATTATACGAGAAACCGTGATTCACCTGTTCTCTCCAGACCAATATCAGGTTCCCCTACTTCGTCATAGATAACCATACCCCATTCATCACGAAACACATTCTCCCATGAGCCTCTAGCCAAAATGGACGGGGATGCAATTTCTCCGTTCGTAGAAGGAAGTCGACCAAAGCCAAATACTTGTTTTGTGTACATTCTGACGTCATTTGCGACACTTGGTGGTCTTCTCTTCGGATATGACATCGGGATCGTCTCGGGGTCGATGCTGCTGATACAGCCGTATTTCCAGCTGACGACATTCTGGCAGGAGCTGATTGTCAGCGGTACAATCATTGCGGCTGTAGTGTTCGCCCTCGTGGCTGGCGTCATGGCTGACTTGGTTGGGCGTAAAAAGACGATTATGTCAGCCAGCGTTGTCTTCGTGTTGGGGTCAGTGGTGATGGGTGTGGCGTCGTCGAAGGAGGTGTTGCTGACAGGGAGGATCGTCGTCGGGGTTGGCGTCGGTATGTCGGTATATTTCATAATGTATTATAGCTTGTAAAATACAAAGTGATTTTAGGCCAAATCTCCTTGGTGTACGGTATCTTAAAAATTGAAACAGTGGATTTATAATCGAAGGCATATACGATACAGAAAAAATATTGTGTCAATATTATTCTGTTTGTTTGTATTGTTAGTAGACAAAGCGCTGGTGCAGTTGTTGAGCATTATGTAATTGATACAGGCGCAATTGATTTTATGACTTTAAATTAAAATTCGACTGCATTAAATTAGAAACGTGAAACCGTGCAGACATATCTGTCCATAAGTGAATCACCTACTACCAGATGCTAAAAGTTCAACATTACAGGCTCCACTGTGTCTACTGGCACCAGGTTGGTGTACCCTGTATACCCCTTCGTAAATAATGTACCTTATCCACCATCATCAGGTGGGTGACACTGTATACCCCTTCGAAAATAATGTACCTTGTCCACCGTCATTAGATGGGTATACCCTGTACACCCTTACCGTAAATAATGTACCTTGTCCATCGTCATCAGGTTGGTGGACAATGTATATACTTACCGTAAATAATGTACCTTGTCCACCGTCATCAGGTTGGTGGACAATGTATATACTTACCGTAAATAATGTACCTTGTCCATCGTCATCAGGTTGGTGGACAATGTATATACTTACCGTAAATACTGTACCTTGTCCACCGTCATCAGGTGGGTGTACCCTGTACACCCCTACGTAAATAATGTACCTTGTCCATCGTCATGAGGTGGGTGTACCCTGTATACCCGTACCGTAAATAATGTGCCTTGTCCACCGTAATCAGGTGGGTATATCCTGTACACCCTTACCGTAAATAATGTACCTTGTCCATCGTCATGAGGTGGGTGTACCCTGTATACCCGTACCGTAAATAATGTACCTTGTCCATCGTCATCCGGTAGGTTGACAATATATATACTTACTGTAAATAATGTACTTGTCCACCTTCATCAGGTGGGTGTACCCTGTACACCCCTACGTAAATAATGTACCTTGTCCATCGTCATCAGGTAGGTGGACAATGTATATACTTACCGTAAATAATGTACCTTGTCCACCGTCATCAGGTGGGTGTACCCTGTATACCCCTACGAAAATAATGAACCTTGTCCATCGTCATCAGGTGGATGTGCCCTGTACACCCCTACGTAAATAATGTACCTTGTCCACCGTCATCAAGTGGGTGTACCCTGTATACCCCTACGAAAATAATGTACATTGTCCATCGTCATCAGGTGGATGTGCCCTGTACACCCCTACGTAAATAATGTACCTTGTCCACCGTCATCAAGTGGGTATACCCTTTACACCCCTACGTAAATAATGTACCTTGTCCACCGTCATCAGGTGGGTGTACCCTGTACACCCCTGCGTGAATAATCAAATCAATCATAATTTAATCAAATTTATCATAATTGGAATAGTGTAACCGATGCGATAAATAGATCCGATAAATTTGACATCACGATCCGACAAATAGGCAATTGAGGTCACCCAGAAGGAAATGTCCTGAGCTCCATACACCAACGCGATGTCTGCTGGATCAATACATTATTGTCTAATGTCGAATGCTGTATAAAATTATTGGTTAAAATTAACAACCTTTCAATCCACACACTATCCAGTCAAACACATATAATGCTGAATTATCGTGCCTAGGATGACAGCTGTTCATATAATTTAAATCAATAACTGGACAACGCATATTAAAACTGTTCTACTTAGTTTAGATCTGGGATACGCATTGATAGACCAGGTTGTTGGAAATGTACATATATTTATGACGTTACTGCTTCAAAGGGCAAAAGATTGTTTTCAGTCGCAATGGTTATAAAAGTTATAAAATGGTCAACGAAAAAACAGTTATTCGTTATTTGGAAAACAAGGTTTGTGTGGAAAGAACCTAAAGTCTGTTACTATGAAGAACACTGGATACTACGAATTAACGGTGTATCAAAATATACTTCATATGGATATCAACATAGCAGCAAATATATAACGAAAACATATTCATGTATACCAAATCAATTTGTTTTGTGCATTAATGTCAACAAGAAATCGTATATTATTACACAAATATTGCTTTATTTATGAATCATTGTCTTAGAGGTGAAATGGGGTTTAAAGACGCGTATTAGATTATTGTCCTTGTATAACGACGCGCAAAATAACACGCTCATAACTTGTGAATACTTGAAACATATAGTACGTACTATGGGCCTTCAGTTTCCCTGTACATAAAACAATGAATGCAGTACAACTGCGTGTAGATAGTGATGAGAAGGTAGTGTCAGTATTTTTACTATTTAATGAGTCCACAATATGATAACTTCCACGTTTCCTCCATGTTAGGTCTGGCTTCGGTGGCTGTGCCTGTGTACGTGGCGGAAGCTGCCCCGAGGCACATCCGGGGACGTCTGGTGACCTTGAACCAGCTCTTCATCACCATTGGCATCCTCATCTCCTCCATCATCGCCGGTGGCTTCAGCGAACTCCAGGAGACGGGGTGGAGGTGAGTTTAAAGGGCGAGCAACGGGTTGGTTCGGATTCTTACAGAGATGGGTTTGAAGCGGGTGTGGAGTGGATGTTCTTACAGTTGTGCAACTGACATGGAAAGACAAAAAATAAATTCAAGGACATAAGAAACGTCACCTCGTATATTTTCAAAGCCACAAAATAACAAAGCTATATTTTTTTACGGTGATTGATGTATTTTAAAAAACTGGGTAATTTTACAACATGTTTGCATAAACACTGACACATCCTGCGGAAGAAGTTCATTTTATCGACATGTTTTGGTCCAATATTCGAGCACCAAATAAATGAGCCTATCTAGTCAATATAGTGTGTGTCCTCCCCAGCTTCGATGCAAGCTCTGACACGGCGCCGAGCAAAGAAAGTGCACAGGAATCAGACGACATTCTGCCTGCAATGCCTGTGCTAACGCCACTGTTGTCTCTGGGCGTGGCTGACGTTGCCTTATCTGTCGTCCCAGGTGGCCCCACAGATGTTCTATTGGAGACATGTCAGGAGATCTTGCCGGCCATGGAAGAAGGTTCACGGTGTTGGCGTTGAACAATGCTCTGGTAATGTGGGCTGTGTGAGGAGTGGCGTTATCTTGCTGGAAGAAACGTTTGTTGGTGACGTTGAAGGAATGGCAGTACAACTGGCTTTAACACTTCATTGAGGGAGCGTGCAGCGGTAAGATTGCCATCAATGACAACCAGATCCGTCTTCATGTCCCCACAACTCCCACCCCGACCATCACACTGCCACCACCGTATGGTTCAATTTCATGCGGGGGCACGGGTGGCCCAGTCGTCTAAGGCGCCGCGATTCGCTGTGCAGAGTTGCGTCCCTTGGGCACGCCAGAAACCTATGATTGTGGGTTCGAATCCCGGTTCGCCCCGATTATGTTTCTATGTTTGTCAGCACCATACCCGTGCTCGTGGGTTTCACCGAAGTGGTAAACGTCTGAGACCTGCATCACTTCGGGCGTTCCTCCCACATTAAGCTGACACGCCGTGATATAACTGGAATACTGTTAAAAGCGGCGTTAAACCCAACTCACTCACTCACTCATTCAATTTCATGCACGCAACAACGTGTCGTGCGTTGCCCTGGCCGCCGATAAATACCATCTGCTTTAAGGAGGTGGAACCTGCACTCATCGCTAAACAGAACGCTGCGCCAATGTCTCTGCTGCCATCGCTTGACATTCCTCGCCCACGCCATTCTCTGACGTCGATGTTCACGCGTTAACGTCATCTCCTGGAACGGTCGGTAGGCGCTCAGACCACAGTGACAAAGTCGTCTGGACACAGTCTTTCTGCTGATCGATGACCAAGAGCATGTCGTCCCGATGACGTCACTGTGAGGTATATGTTCCTAAGGTGAAGCAGCCGTAAATGGCGTAAGGGGTGGTAACTCTGGGTCTACCGCTCCCAGGCCTGTCTGCTGTTCCACCTGTCTGCCTAAACCGGCTGACTAAGCCTAGTTTTGCCCATTACCCCAGCAACATGGGCCTGAGTTGCCCCCATGTCAAACATTCCCAATGCCCTTTCTCTCTGTTCCAATGTTAATCGAGGCATGACCACTTTTGGCAACTGAATGTGCCAATGCCAAAGAACATTTTGGCACCCGTTTTATACCAGATTTGCATACGGGTATGTATCCAACGGTTATGCCTTTTACCGAGCAATAAGGGCATTTTCACAACCAGCACGTGCATTTTGCGTATGTCACTGAGAGGAATGAATAAGTTGCGTTTAGGCGATACGTTTTAATCAATGTTGAAGGTATTTTGACATTGGTTGAAAATATATTGAAATTTTTTAAGGTGACGTTTCTTATGTCCTTGATATTAGGATTGAAGGGATAGGCGCTGGAGGAGAGTCATGGTGGCGTTTGACGATTGTTGAGTTTGCGTAGAGAGGTCATCTACCAAAGTATTGACCACAACATACACATTTCTTCTGCAGCGGTATCAGTCAAAGCAAAGAGAGCAATGGTGGAAGTGACGCATCTGTAAGGATTGCCCAGGCTGAGTGAATAGGCGAGGGCAGAAACAGGCATTTGGGGCTGACAAACACAGTCTACAGTGTTACCGAAACTCATTAATTTGGACAGCCCTACACCGTTATTGTTTATATTAATGTGGGTGCACTAAGCACTGGCTGAGAGGCTCTCCATCTTCCTCGCCTGTTTTGTTGTTTACCAAGATAGAAACATCGTAAGGTCGTCTTGGGCCGGCAAACGCAATCTACAGTGTACCTGGAGCTCATTAATCTAGTCAGACTTACGCATTGTCTGAATCTTTATAGTCTGTGTTAGTGAGGGTGTATATTAGCACTGCCTGGGGTGTTCGCATCTTCATCACCTGTTTTGTTCCAACAGGTGCGTGTTAGCACTGTCTTGGGTGTTCGCATCTTCATCACCTGTTTTGTTGTTCCAACAGGTACGTGTTAGCACCGTCTGGGGTGTTCGCATCTCCATCACCCGTTTTGTTGTTCCAACAGGTACATGTTAGCACTGGCTGGGGTGTTCGCATCTTTTAACACCAGTTCTGTTGTTCCAACAGGTCCATGTTAGCACTGGCTTGGGTGTTCGCTTCTGTTTTTTGGTTCCAAAAGGTACATGTTAGCACTGTCTGGGGTGTTCGCATCTGCATCACCCGTTTTGTTGTTCCAACAGGTACATGTTAGCACTGGCAGGGGTGTTCGCCATCTTCCAGTTTATTGGCTTCTTCTTTCTTCCGGAGAGTCCAAGATGGCTGCTTAGCAAAGGGCGTGGTGAATTAGCACGTGCAGTGCTCACGCATATCCGAGGTGGTGAAGACATATCTATAGAACTGGCAGACATCCGGACATCAGTCACCGAAGCAAGCAGTAGCGCCACAGGTGAGCTACACTTCCTAATTATGTCAGTATAACACCGAAACCGTACGATTAGACATTCATCATACCCCTCTAGCATTCATAACATCCTGTCTATTTCAAGAAGCAAAAGGCTCGTGAAATCTAATTGGCCCTATTAGACTAGCATATTGTCTGTGAAAGCCTGTATTATGCAATACATTTCTCTCTGCTAACAGCATCCTTGTCTCTGGTGCTCATTTCCTATAATACAGCATTCGGAAAAAGTGACTTGTTTCAACTAGATTGATTTTGTCAAAATACATGAAGCCATTCCACAGTCATGGAGCAGGACGAGAACAGTACCTCTGCATTATTTTGCTTTCAAGAGCATTCTTTTGACACTACAGTTTTCTCAATGAAAACTTGATGAAACACTACAGTTTTCCGGATGACAAAATAGTATAACACTACAGTTTTCCGGATGACAAAATAGTGTAACACTACAGTTTTCCGGATGACAGAATAGTGTAACACTACAGTTTTTGGATGACAAAATAGTGTAACACTTCAGTTTTTGGATGACAAAATATTGTAACACTACAGTATTCCGGATGACAAAACAGTATAACACTACAGTTTTTGGATGACAAAATATTGTAACACTACAGTTTTGGGATGACAAAATATTGTAACACTACAGTTTTTGGATGACAAATATTGTAACACTACAGTTTTCTGGGTGACAAAATATTGTAACACTACTGTTTTTGGATGACAAAATATTATAACACTACAGTTTTTGGATGACAAAATAGTGTAACACTACAGTTTTCCGGATGACAAAATATTGTAACACTACAGTTTCTGGATGACAAAATATTGTAACACTACAGTTTCTGGATGACAAAATATTATAACACTACAGTTTTCCGGATGACAAAATATTGTAACACAACAGTTTCCCGGATCACAAAATATTATAACACAACAGATTTCTGGATGACAAAATATTGTAACACAACAGTTTTCTGGATGACAAAATATTATAACACTACAGTTTTCCGGATGACAAAATATTATAACACTACAGTTTTCCGGATGACAAAATATTATAACACTACAGTTTTCTGGATGACAAAATATTATAACACTACAGTTTTCCGGATGACAAAATATTATAACACTACAGTTTTCCGGATGACAAAATATTGTGACACAGTGGCTGCAATTGAAAGTGCACTATTGCTGCTGGCACCTAAATGTGCATCTGCAAGGGATTAACTATGGAACCCTGATATACTTTCTTCGTTAAAGGTGGCCGACCTGTGATACTCCGAGTACTTTCAACCCCTCACGTGCGGAAAGCCCTGATGATTGGAGGGGGGCTGTCGGTCTTTCAGCAGCTGTGTGGTATAAACACTGTCATGTGCGTTCTGCTTCAAAATATGCATATATTTACCGTCTTAGAAATGTAAAAAATATCACAGAACGACCCCCTTGGTCGTGGGTTGGCCCTGATTATGTATCTAGGTTTGTTAACGAACCCGTAGTCTCAGGTATTACGAAAGTAGTCACATTAAATACTCGTACCTATATGCCTCGGTGGTATAGCTTGATATTGCTGTCGAAGCTAACTGAAAACTTATATGAGGTGAGGTGAAATTGGGTTTAACGTCGCGTCCAAGATTATTGCACTTATATTGCGACGTGCATGCACGTGTGTGTGTGTGTGTGTGTGTGTGTGTGTGTGTGTGTGGCTGCTTGTACTAGTCCGGACTGATGCCGATTTATAGTGCTAGCCCACTGAGATACCATGCCGCAGATTAACATGATTACCCCACTCAGACACAGTATACTGACTCCGAGCCGACCAGTCCTTGTTTTAGCCCCTTAATGCCGAGCGCCAGACAGGGTAACAACAAGTACCATCCTTTAACGTATTTTGGTATGACGCGGCCGGGGATCGAACCCCGCTCTCCTGGCGGACGCTCTACTACTAGACCACGGAGGCAGTCTTGATGATGATGATGATGATGAGTTTGTAATGTTAGATGTGTGTTGATACCCAGTTTGCCCTGAAGCATCGTTCTGTGTTGTTTGTAGTGCGTGCAGTGGACATGTTCTAGACTACGGAGGCGGTCCGAAAAGTTATATGAATCTTGACCAATAGATAAATGAATGCCAAAATAACATTACTTGAATATCAGTTGGTGCATTTACTTAAAAACTACTACTAGTCCCGTGTAAGAAGTGGTTTTACTTAGAGAAATATTCTGTAAAATTCGCAAGATCATTTTAATTTGACGAAACACGTCAAACCACGACAAGATATGTGCGAACAGACACCTATAACAATTTTAATTTAATTTTCACAATAATAGTTTTGCCTTTAAAAGACTTGTACTTCAGCCTTATGAGCAGAGTAAACGCTGCCGATAGTGTTTACAGTAACGAGTGGTGTTTGAACGGCTCTGACCTAGGAAGTACACCCTTGACGGGTTGCATGTATTAAGTACAATCCGTTCAATGCTCACAGTCTAAATGTGAACCGAATACACAAACAGGTAGCACATGTCTGCAGGCATCAACGTGACAAGGTATTATCTGTTGAAGGAAATACACAAATTTGCTACCGCGCTGTAACCGAGTATCTCCATCTGCCATTCTTGCGGACAAGGTGCCCGGTTTAGGAGGCGATGCTCTTTCTTCTACCACTGTTAGGAGGTGGACAGCGGAGTACAAGAAGGGAAGAGAGTGCCAAGATCAGGAAGACCTTTAACTGCCACCACTAGGGAACATGTTGATAAAATACGTGATTTAGAGAATCTCACCCGAGTGTCTTTTGATATCAAATATATCAACACGAGTTGATAAAAGTGGAAAAATTCCGAGGCTTGCCGAGGATTTTTGCCACTTTTGTCAACGAGTTCAACATTCAAATAAAAATGTGGTAATAAATAGAATATCACACTCTATTAAAGTTTATAGCAAATTTATATCCTTCCTCGAGAAAGCTGAAAATTTATTTCACTAGGTACGTAGAAGTCATGTTAGATTGAAGCTCGTGCAAAACCAATACTAACCGTAATAATGAGGTATTAAACCAGTTCTGTATATCGTGATCATATTCATACAGTAAACAGTTATGCCTGGTGTATGTAAAAGTAGGAATACTCGGCATGAAATCATCATGTTAATGTAACAATAGAAGGTTCACGTATGACTAATCTGATAGGTAGATATACGTCCGGGTTGCTAACATACCTATTGATATAGGATATAGGATATTTTTACTGCATTTTTCGTTATATATTCTAATATAGAATGCTCTCAACGCATGAAGGGACACATGGTATGAGTTGCGCCGAGTATTAAAACACAATCGGGATATAAACAGTTTCGGGTTGATAGATTAGATGAAGGGCGGATGGAGCAATTTCAAAACAGTAATTAGCTCTGCAGCATTCGCTTTGTTGTAAATTAAATATAAAGCGACAAAACCATTTCAATAATTGTAAGAAATCTCTACTGAAGGTCCATTGTACGATTCCGACTATATCATAAGCCCGTGTTTATGAATCACAATCAAATAGTGATGATAAAAGATTTACATTTTTCTATACTGGAAGCAATGTCTTTTTACCACAAAACATATTGTACTTTCAAATTTCTCGTCAATGGAGTGTCATAAAATGAAAATTAAAGCTTTGTGTCTGTTGTTTGATTATTTAACGCTGTCATACATTCGTACCATACATGACATAGTTAAGTTTTATTTAAATAAAAGCGACAAAACCCTGTCCATATTCATAATACATCTATGCCAAAAGTAGAGTCGATTGTAAGAAATGATCTTGGGGAAGCCGTTTTCAATAACATCCAATTTCTGTGCATTTTAAGCAATTTGGTAGGTTTAATTGTGTTTTTTTTCGAGCTGACCATTTTGTTAATTTTGATTATTTTGTGAGCGACTCTCGCAAGGAAACTATATTCCTGTTTACGGAAATAAGTAATTGTAATGGTGACAGTAGTTTTGTTATCCATAGATATCAGGGAAACATGCCTGGGATCTGACGAAACAGTCAGGAGGTCAGTGACAAAGATATAACACAATTGATCTGAGAACGTGAAAGAAATACCAACTGTCAGTGTATTATTATATTATAATACAGTTTCAGGTTCACTATCGAGTGTTTTGAACATTGCTGGTATATGCTCTGTTCCCTTCTGCTCATAGTTATGGCAGCTTCTTTGCATTCTGCAATGTTTCCACATATCTTGCTAATTTTAAAGAAAATTTCCAGGCCCTTTTGAGGCATAATATACTGGTAGTGTTATACGTGATGGGGTGTAAACGTATAACAACACATATGGCTCAGTACAACTAGATTTTTTATTACCAAACTCAATTATTTCATTTATCTATCAGGGGCGGTCGGGTAGCCTAATGGTAAAAGCCTTCGCTCTTCACGCCGAAGACCCGGGTTCGATTCCCGACATGGGTACAATGTGTGAAGCCCATTTCTGGTGTCCCCCGCCGTGATATTGCTGGAATATTGCTAAAAGCGGCGTAAAACCATACTCACTCACTCATTTATCTATCACTTGTTAACTCTCGATCTGAAACTACTCCCAACATACTGCTCCCTCGCTTGATAGCGGTTACCCCAGTTACAGCTACAAACCCACCGTACAGCATGTTCTAGCTCTTAAAACATCATATAAACTGCAGGGCAACAGATAGTATACACTTGAAAACTGGATTTGACCCAACCTTACAAACGTTATCGAAACGTTACAATGCTGAGTCGCCGAAACACTGAAAACGATAGGTCTTGAACATAACTCTGATTTCCGTAACAATCACCATCAAATAAGACATTTCTTGCTTGTTTCATTTTCAGCCACTAACAAACATGGGTGTCCTTCAGTTAGCATTGCATTTGTTTGGGTGTTGATAAAAGCCTTGATCAGTTATTGTTAAAGGCGGACAAGGCTCGGAGGAATTGGCAGTCCAGGGAAATTTGATTAAAGTGCTTAAAGAACCACTGTTATTGATTACAATGTCTAGAACTAGGCAGAAAACGGGCACCAGAAGTCTGAGCATTGTAAACCAGGTTCTAGGAACGAGGTGATGTTACCACGGCAACCTTGGCACAAAATGAATTACTGTTGTTCCCATACAGATACTACAGTGGCACGATTCTCAAGATGGCGGGGTTTCCGGTGAAGCACGCTATCTGGTTGGTTGTCGTGCCCAATGTCGTCAACTTCCTGGCCACGTTCATTGGCTTGTGGCTCGTCGAGAGGTTAGGCAGGCGACTACTTCTCATCATCAGTGTTTTCGGTAAGGAGATTAAATGCTAAATTAACTGATCAAAGTTGAAGTCCATCATTCGTTATTTGAGATTGGGGATCCAGTATAGCTATTCGCTATGGAGAGTTGCGTCCCTTATGCGAGCCGGATACCTATGATCATGGATTCAAAGCCCAAAATCGCCCTGATTATGTTTCGAGGTTTGTCAGCTCCGTGTCAGTGCTCTTGGGTTTCACCAAAGTGGTAAACGTCTAAGACCTGCATTACTTCGGGCTTTCCTCCCACACCTACCACGCGGTGGTGTAACTGAACTACCATAGAAATCGGCGTTTTCCAACCTCACTCACTCACTTCAACAGGTGTGATTGTATCATTGGCAACTCTTGCGATCGGCTTCCAGCTGTCATATGTCTACTCCCCTCGACTCAACTACACCGCAACAGCTTCTACATTCACGGCAATCAGCGACGCCAACAGCACCAAGCACCATGTCTGCTTTCAACCATATAGGTGAGTGTTGCCATTCCTATACCAACACCACTGCTTGAACACCTGTTTCGGCTGACCGATACCAGTATCACATGACAGCGTGAGTTCTATTCCGTATCGATTATAACTGCACTTTATCACATAATTAATAACGTTATCGATGCGATAAATCAATCCGATAAACTTGGCATCACGTTTCGATGAATATGCAAACGATGTCACCCATCAGGAACTACTTCTAAAATCCGTACATCGATGCGATGTCTGCTTGATCACTAAAGTACTATTTGATGTTGCCAAATAAGTTTAGATAGGTTTGTTTATTGTTTAACACCCCACTCAGCAATATTCCAGCTATATGACGGCGGTCTGTAAATAATCGAGTCTGGACCAGACAGTCGAGTGATTGATATCATGAGCATCGATCTAAGATATTGGGATATGATGACATGCATCAACCAGTCAGCGAGCCTGACCATCTGATCCCGTTAGTCGCCTCTTACGACAAGCACAGTCGCCTTTTACGGCAAGCATGGGTTGCTGACGAGTTATTCTAGCCCTGATCAGTTTAGATAGCTAAGGGGTTTCGCGTTGTGTGGGTATTTCAGAAGAGAAACATGGTTGCAAATCGTTTCGTGTATACAAACGTATGATATAAACAGTGTTAAATTTACACCTATGACACGTGAAGTATGACACAGTGTTTTCTCACGCATAGAACATGTGAAGAGTGCATCCACCACAAGGTCTGTGGCTTCTGTCAGAGCGACACGAAGGAAGCGACCTGCCTCCCGGCCAAAGATGAAACAGACTCACTGATTGGCCCGTGTAATTCAACCAGCTCAGGGGTGTCAGGATACACGTGGGCCTATGGCTACTGCCCAAATGACTACACGTGGATATCGGTTGTCGGCATGACCATGTTTGTCCTTGCATTTGCACCGGGTAATGTTTCTCAGTAGATATATATTCACCCTAAGAAATCCATATTATATTCTAAGAACATACCTCTTCACCAAAACGGTAAACGTCTAAATCTAAGTTCCTCCCATATCAAGCTGACACGCCAGGATATAACTGGAATACCGTTCAAAGCGGCGATAAATTCAACTCTCTCACTGATATGAATGATCAGTGCGGCGTTAAAGAAGTTCCACTCACGAGGCTTGTATAACACTTAACATGGACGCTAAGTATCAGTATACTTGTCCATGCTCTCTGTGTGCCACACTTAACATGGACGCTAAGTATCGTATACTTGTCCATTCCCTCTCTGTGCCACACTTAACTCGGACGCTAAGTATCGTATACTTGTCCATGCTCTCTCTGTGCCACACTTAACATGGACGCTAAGTATCGGATACTTGTCCATGCTCTCTCTGTGCCACACTTAACATGGACGCTAAGTATCGGATACTTGTCCATGCTCTCTCTGTGCCACACTTAACATGGACGCTAAGTATCGGATACTTGTCCATGCTCTCTCTGTGCCACACTTAACATGGACGCTAAGTATCGGATACTTGTCCATGCTCTCTCTGTGCCACACTTAACATGGACGCTAAGTATCGGATACTTGTCCATGCTCTCTCTGTGCTACACTTAACATGGACGCTAAGTATCGGATACTTGCCCATGCTCTCTCTGTGCCACACTTAACATGGACGCTAAGTATCGGATACTTGCCCATGCTCTCTCTGTGCCACACTTAACATGGACGCTAAGTATCGGATACTTGTCCATGCTCTCTCTGTGTCACACTTAACATGGACGCTAAGTATCTCATACTTGTCCATGCTCTCTCTGTGCCACACTTAACATGGACGCTAAGTATCGGATACTTGTCCATGCTCTCTCTCTCTCTGTCACACTTAACATGGACGCTAAGTATCGTATACCCGTCCATGCTTTCTCTGTGACAAACTTAACATGGACGCTAAGTATCGTATACTTGTCCATGCTCTCTCTCTGTGTGTCACACTTAACTTGGACGCTAAGTATCGTATACCTGTCCATGCTTTCTCTGTGTCACACTTAACATGGACGCTAAGTATCGTATGCAAATCCTTGCACTCTCTACGATGAGGGCACAACCGCCTTGGAAAAATAATAAAGCTTGTTTGTAAAACTAAGGTCATGAAACAAATCGTTGGTTTCTGTTAATAATAATTTAAAAGACAAAAGCAATAATTCAATAATGTTATGAGCGTCCAAGGGCGTTGGCATAGCGTCACGCGTGAAGTCCATTTTTGTTCCACGCTGGAATATTGCTGGAGGCCTTCGAGTTTTTACACCAACGGAATTTCATGTTTATATGAATTTTTGTGTTAAATTATGTCCTTTATACAGGCCTTAGTTGTTAATTTACATGCAGGCAGATCAATGCACGTGTTGGATGAGCGTTATGTCCACATGGAACGTTCACTTCCCATGAGGGGGCACGGGTGGCCCAGTCGTCTAAGGCGCCGCGATTCGCTGTGCAGATTTGCCTCCGTAGGGCACGCCAGAAACCTATGATTGTGGGTTCGAATCCCGGTTCGCCCCAATTATGTTTCTAGGTTTGTCAGCACCATACCCGTGCTCGTGGGTTTCACCGAAGTGGTAAACGTCTAAGACCTGCATCACTTCAGGCTTTCCTCCCACATTAAGCTGACACGCCGTGATATAACTGGAATACTGTTAAAAGCGGCGTGAAACCCAACTCACTCACTCACTTCTTATTACATTACTGTCAGGTAACATGTGTTTTGTGTTTGGTGGAAGATCAGGGTATGGAATAACAGCTAGTTAATATGCATGTCTCTTCATCAAGGTCTGGGACCCATGCCGTGGACGGTCAACTCGGAGATATACCCACTGTGGGCGAGAAGCACATGCAACTCAATCACCACGGCAACAGTTTGGATATGTAATTTCATCGTATCTATGACATTCCTTACCTTCACGGAACTAATCACCAAGCACGGTTTGTTAATTCTTACGCTCACTTCACCAATGTCGACAAAGCATTGCTTATCACACATTAAAAAGCCGTTTGTTACCTTGGTTAATGTCAGGAGTTAGCTTCAACGCGAGTGATTTGTGGCCATACACAGCTGTGTCACGCAATGAGCTGCTCGCGTACATGAACTTACATTGCGAGGAGAGCTAATTATTGCAACTATATGGTATTTTTACATAAAGAAAGTTTGATTGCTTGACATTTCTAATAAGGACATTTTGTTTTAAGTCAGGTAGATGTGATCGATGTAACGATTGAGTCCAAAAAATGTCTTGAAATACGAGTAGAATGTTTTAACCTTGAACGAGTGCCCGTATTATATATATATAAAGAGAGAGAGAGGGGGGGGGGGGGGGGGGGGGGGAAGAGAGAGACCATTTTGAAGCATACTGATCATGTTATAAAAATACATAATTGAATCATTTGGTGACAACGCACTAATAACAATTATTTGACCGATTTCAGGCTTACAAACTCAAACTGTTTTCCTGAAATATTATTTTGCATTCCTCTAACAGCTATTTTGAGTGAACCCTTCCGTTTTATAAACTCTGTGTCCGGGCTAACAGTACCGACTTGTTTACCCCTAGGTACATTCTGGATGTTCAGCGGTGTCTCTGTGCTCGGCCTCATCTTCATCTGCATCTTCCTCCCAGAGACGAAGGGCAAGACTCTGGAGGAGGTTGAGGAGCTCTTCATGTCGGAGGAAGACAAAGTTCATCACGAGGAGAGGAGGAGGACAAAATATACTGACTAGTGATCCAGAACTCACTGTTATAGTTCGTTTGACTACAACATTAAACATCTGATATCCTTTTAATGTTCCATGAGCACTGGTGGACAAATGTCAGAGGGCAGGAATTCGCAGTGAAGAGTTACCTCCCTTAGTCGCGCTAGGAATATGTGACTTACATTCGCCCTGGTTATGATCCTTGGTTTTGTTATTACCCCGTGTATGGCCTGTGTAGCATCCCAACCACATCAAATAAATGATCTCGAAAGGATACGATTATAATCAAGCAGACAACAGACAACAGGTCAGACATTTTTATCAGGAAGATGAAGAATTTTTGTGTTCACCACTGTGACCTGGGTTCGATTCCCGTGATAATGTACCAGAAATGGCGTTGAGTGGCTGGACTGTAATGGTGAAAAGTTTTTTGTTGTGTTACCCGGGACTCGGTAATATTCCAGCTATATTACGGCCTGGAAATAATTGAGGTTGGGCAAGAAAATGCAGTGATTCCAACGATCAACACCGTCTGGGCACAAATACAGCTGTCAGTCTGTCTAGTCGCCTGGGGGGTAGGGGTGGGGCGTGGGGTATGGGTGGGGCGTGGGGTGTGGTGGGGGTGGGGGTGGGGTGGGGTGGGGGGTCTGTGTCCCACTTTACCAGTTACTGTCTGTCTGTAAGTCTGTCTGGCTACCAGTCGCTATTGTTCAGATATAGAAATCACTCAACCGTGATAATCCCCTTAACTTAGGTGATTAGATTATAGTCTGTTTCGATCCATAGCCTATAGTTATAGCCAGCCAAAAAGTAATAGTAATAGTAAATTCATGTATCATAGTGATTATTTTATTCACATAGCATATTTATATTTCATTATACACTCGTGCAATTATGTTATAATTGATAGTTTATCAATTTGTTCGTCACAACATTCATTTTTATTCATATCAGCATTGCATATACAGACATTATTTTACACTGGTACATCAACAAAATGGGAAACATCATCTCAATATGTTCCCTTCAGCAGACGGGTCCTCGGGGGGTAAGGCAGTCATCCCCGTGCTCGTGGGTTTCACCGAAGTGGTAAACGTCTCAGACCTGCATCACTTCGGGCTTTCCTCCCACTTTAAGCTGACACGCCGTGATATAACTGGAATACTGTTAAAAGCGGCGTTAAACCCAACTCACTCACTCACTCACTCACTTACATGAAACAATGCAATAAGTTGAAAGTGAAATCTAAAAATTGCGTGCATGAACTCAAGGGTTCATACGACCATTATCATTGTCATTGTCATCATTATCATGATTATTATCATTATACTTACTGAGAAGTCCCTTCTGGTATCACACCGCCTCCGTGGTCTAGTGGTAGAGCGTCCGCCCGGGGTATCTCAGTGTGCTAGCACTATGAAATCGGCATTAGTCCGGACTAGTACAAACGCACACGCACGCACGCATGTACACACGTTCATGCACGTCGCTATATAAGTGCAATAATCTTAACACAACGTTAAACCCCATTTCACCACACCCATCAAGATCGTTAGCGGTCAAAACATCTAGAGTCATAGACCGCCTCCGTGGTCTAGTGGTAGAGCGTCCGCCCGGGGAGCGGAAGGTCTGGGGTTCGATCCCCGCCCGCATCATACCAGAAGACGTTAATGTATGGTACTTGTTGTTAGCCTGTCTGGCGCTCGGCTTTAAGGGGCTAAAACAAGGCTTTTTCGGCTCGGAGTCAGTATATTGTATCCGAGTGGTGCACAAGGGAAGTAACTCTGCACAGCGAATCGCAGCGCCTTAGTGTTTAAGCGTGACAAGTCCTTTCTAGTTCGTGTAGAGGACTCAGACTGTCTTGCATCCTTGGCGTGGTGTCCCACGCGGTCGTGTCATGAGTCCTTTGCATTTCAAAAAAATCACTGACGACGTTTTCACTAATTCACCTTTAAACACCGTTTGGTGTTGATTTGGAGACGATCTGATACAGTTCGTCATAGAATCAATTCAGAAATGCCATGGCATCATTTGAAATATTAAGGCTAGACGCCTTTCGTTGTGTATATATATATGTTTGTTCTTTAACACCACACAATATTACAGTTATGCGACGCCGGTCTGGACCAGACAACCCTGCTCTCGTTAATCGCCTCTTAGGACAAGCATAGGTTGCTGAGGACCAGGGGCGGTATTCATAAAAAAAACCTTAGGCTAGGATTTTTCGTAAGTCTAAACTTAATTTCTTTTTTCAGACTTAAGTTCTTTTATGAATACCGCCCCAAGTCTAACCCGAATCTTAACTGGGACCTGGACACGTATTTGGCACCCGTCACAAATACACGCAATGGCAAGTAAATTGTGCTCATGAAAAAGCAAGGGGACATAAAGTTCAAGTCAAAATAGTCCAAGTAGACTTTTGTGGGCTCTTTATTGCTTAATTCAGCGGGCACTGGCAGAATATGTAACTGAACCGGGTCAATATAAAATTATGTAAATGACAAGTCAATCCATATGTGCTGTTACTTTTAAACCATTATATCAGTTTGCTTATTTGTATAATCTGCTCCTTAGTGATTACTCAGTTTTCAGAAATGAGACATTGTTATATTTTGTATTTGCTGTTTTATATTGGAGCATATTGGTTAATCGTGTCATTTAGATTAGTCACTGTAATTTGTTTATAACAATGTCATGTGTTGGGCTCAAAAGACCTACTTCTTGTCCCAGTCGCCCCTGAAACTAAATCACCACCAATACCCACTGCTTGTTTGCCCGTGTTTGCTGTAGGGCTCTGAATAAATACATAAATAACATCGTTATAATTTCGTTTATTTTGTTTTGTTTTATGTATGATTTCATGTCGATGAAAGTATTTTTGTTAGTCTTAATTGAATTTTATTTCTTTTACATAGTTTTCAGTAGTGCTAGATACCGGCTATAAACGTTAACTTTGTCATATTTTCACGACAGTTTTAAAAAATGAGCCACAGATAAATGCTTGTCTAATCACGCCAATGTGCCGCCAGGCATTTATCAACCGACTAAAGGATTGTACTCTAGGCTATATATGTGACGCCCACATCTGTTGCGCGCCTGAAACGACAACGAGAGCTTGAAAGCGGAATGAGAAAATCAATACACAGCTATATGCAACATACTTCTCTTCATGCTACGTGTTAATACACAACCTTTAACCTCCGGGTTTTAGCTAGTCCAGTCTGTCATGACTCTGTCACGGGACCTAGTCACACAACGCACCCTGTCGTGAGGATGGAAACAGGTGATAACACTGCCCCTGTTGATAATGGACGAAAAGGGAGTGAGACAGGGCGGAGTGCTAACCCCAGGTTTGTTTATGTATTATCAATATTCGCGACGCTCGGCGGCTTTCTGTTCGGCTACGACACAGGGATCGTTTCCGGGTCTATGCTCTTAATTAGGCCATATTTCAAGCTAGATACAATATGGACGGAGGTGATAGTAAGTGGGACGGTTGCTTCGGCGGCCGTCTTTTCCGTGTGCGGTGGATACCTGGCAGATTATGTTGGGAGAAGGAGAACTATCATGGCGGCTAGTGTGGTGTTCACTATCGGCGCTGTGGTCATGGGTGCCGCTCCAGACAAGGAGGTTCTGCTGGTTGGGAGAATCATCATAGGAATCGGCATAGGTATGTTCTGTAGTTCACCAAAACAAAATAATTTTGTTAGATTTATGTATCGATGAATCTATTTTTGTTTTAGCATATATTTTTTACATATTTCTGAATAGTACTAAGAAAGAGAGCTCATGTCTGGTGGTTATACACCACTGTCATGGCGTGGGGAGAGGACGTGGGGGAACTGTGATTTTGTCTAGAGATTATATATATATATTTCCAGCTACAGCTGCAAAACCAGAATTTTCGTGCACAATGTATTTGTCTATAAAGTCCCACCCCATCCCCAGAATATGAAACGGTCGGTTCCTCAAAATGCTACATAGCTCAATGAAATAAACAAGTTCTGGTGAATATAACTATATAAAAGACTAAAAAACAGCAACTTTGTATACAGTTCGTCGCCTTTATTTCTGTATCTAACCATGTGGAACAACATATCTATAACCATGATCGCTCGGCCATGTTCGTTCACGTATAGAATGTATAGCATGTCTGCTTGTCAGGGTTTGCTTCGGTGACAGTCCCCGTGTACGTGGCGGAAGTGGCGCCTAGCAACATCCGGGGAACGCTGGTGACCTTGAACCAGCTCTTCATAACCATCGGCATCCTCGTCTCCTCCATCATCGCCGGTGCCTTGAGCGACCTCCCAGACACAGGATGGAGGTGATTATTCTCTTGAGCAAATACAGGATAGAAATTTTAATATAAGATCTTAAAACAACCCTTGTCTTGTTTGTTGTCTCTTTCAATCTTGTTATACAGTAAACTACGGTTATAACGAACTCAAAGGGACTACTATTTTTAGTTCGTTATGACCGTAGTTCGTTATAAGCATATATACAGCATAACTGCAGCAAATAGTCGGGACTAAAAAGTAAGTTCGTTATATCCGTCAGTTCGTTATAAGCGTGTTCGTTATGACCGTAGTTTACTGTATATGAACAGTTGGATAATTGGAAAATGCGCTGCATACATTCTTAATATGATGGTACCTTTGCTTGACCCAGACATTTTTTTCTCCCGTCATCAGTTACAGTGTCCAATTTATCTTCGAGTAGAAACATCATTGTTGACGCTGTATAATATTTATACTAATGAGGCTGTGACGCGCCCATGTTAAATGCTGTTGACGCTGTGACACGCCCTGTAGCAATGCTGTTGACGCTTTGATGACTTGCAGCAAGGCTGTTGATGCTTGTGACGCCCATGTAGCAACACTGTTGTTGACGTTTTGTTGCCCAGCAACAATGGTGTTGACGCTGTGACGCCCTGTAACAATGTTGTAACACTATGACGCCGTGTTGTTAATGCTGTGACGCCCTGTAACAATGTTGAAACACTATGACGCCGTGTTTTTAATGCTATGACGCCCTGTAACAATGCTGTAACACTATGACGCCGTGTTGTTAATGCTGTGACGCCCTGTAACAATCTTGTAACACTATGACGCCGTGTTGTTAATGCTATGACGCCCTGTAACAATGTTGTAACACTATGACGCCGTGTTTTTAATGCTATGACGCCCTGTAGCAATGCTGTAACACTATGACGCCGTGTTGTTAATGCTGTGACGCCCTGTAACAATGTTGTAACACTATCGCGCCGTGTTGTTAATGCTATGACGCCCTGTAACAATGTTGTAACACTATGACGCCGTGTTTTTAATGCTATGAAGCCCTGTAACAATGCTGTAACACTATGACGCCGTGTTTTTAATGCTATGGCGCCCTGTAGCAATGCTGTAACACTATGACGCCGTGTTTTTAATGCTATGACGCCCTGTAGCAATGCCGTTGAACCTGAACTTTACTTCCGCGTCAAACATGTGCAGATTAAACCAGGGAATGCGGAAAGGGTTGTTCAAGTTTGAATGCGGAATATTAAATCTTTATCTATACAAATAGTGTCATGTAGTTAGATAAGCAACGAGGAAGGAGATGTTTAACAAGAATAATAAAAATATTTTGCGCCAGGCATATCAAATTGTGATATAATTATCATAATGCATAATTCATGCAACATGCAGAGTGGAATTATGGAAACAGCGTGTGGTACAATGTAGTTGTTATCCATTGTTAGCTACAGTCTGGGATAAGTCCTGGATGCCATTGGCTTTCTCAGTGATAAACAACATACAATGGTCAAAACACCCGTTGCAAACTATCTAAAGTAAGCAACCCCAGGTTTTTCGTGAACTGAAGTTGTCCGCGTGAAATCGCCCTCGATTAGCTATAACAATATGTCATAACAATGCACTATAGCCATGTGATATAACATGGTACTTAAAAATCATGTGCTAGAACCAGGCTTTATAACGAGATGTGTTTCCGTGTTCGTCAAGGTACATGCTGGGTCTTGCTGCTGTCCCCGGTATTGTGCAGTTTGTGGGATTCCTCTTCCTCCCGGAGAGCCCACGCTGGATGATTGATTCAGGGCACGTGGAAAAGGCTCGAAAGATTCTGGTGCAGGTTCGCGGAACGCCAGATGTCGAGGAAGAAATGACGGCCATTAAACAGAAACTGGAGGAGTCCAAGAAAACCTCTTCAATCAGTGAGAACTCATACATTATCAAGATTGATACAAAGGACGACAAAGACGGCCTGTCAATAAACCAGCATCTTGCCGAGGCAAGGGCGTTAACTGACTATAAAAGTCCAGTTTCCACCCTTGCCGAACTAGGCTGGAATTTGCAGGCTCGAACGTAGCCCCACCAGTGGCTATTACGAGTTATGTCCCTTCTATGTCCCTCCTATTGACCAATCAGATTCCATCTCTCATATCACTTGCATTTCCTTCAAACAAAATGGTGGCGCCCAGTCAAGATGGTCTGATCGATAATCAAGATCTCTATTGTAATAAAACAGGTCCTACCCCGCGAAGTGCATCAAATAACTTGAGCACAAAAACATTGTCATTGACGGGACACATGCTTTTCAAATCCTGCAGTCGACCGAAATCTGCATGTTGAAATCCATGTTGTTCAAGAACCGGATGTCTATACGATTTTGATATACTATGCAATGACTCGTTAGTCCAGCCAAAGTGTAACTCCGGAATTCCAGCCAATTTCGGCAAGGGTGGAAACTAGACTTTTATAGTCAGTTAACTCCCTTGTCTTGGGAAGATGATAAACCAGATACATTGGAATGACGTAAAACAGGAGTCAGAGCATTAACATGTTTCAAAAGTACAGTAATTACTTCAACTATACCATCACATAACAATTATCCTCAATATAAGTGTTGTCCATGACGTTAGTGATTTTTAATGTTACGTCAGCGGGTGTCACTGTTACGTCAAATGGTTTTAATGTTACGTCAAGTGATTGTAATGTCACGTCAAATGCTTTAAATGTTACGTCAAGTGCTCTGAATATTACGTCAAGTGGTTTTAATGTTACGTCAAGTGCTTTAAGTTACATCATTGGAATAATCGGTTTTACCAAATTTAGGTACCTTTGTTTTCTTTTTAAAATGACTTGCACCCTGGATTATATGTTCAATAACCCATAATATAGATAACAGCTATTTTTTGCGCTCTTGGATAAATGTTGCCAAATGCTTTGGTTAAGTACACATGTACACTCTTTGATTGCTTGTTTTTTCAAAAAGTCTGCTTAAAGAATGACTTGGCTGTAACAAATTGGCAGTTCCAACAAATATGATTGACAATGTTCAAACAGATCTGAGTTTCTTTGCGTATATCAAGCAGTTAATACCCAAAATAACAAAGAGACAATGCCTTAGCTTGACACGCGGCTGGACATATACACCTGGACTTGGTCCAAGGCCATTGTTAATTTTGACACTTCACACTTCAACTGAAACAGGATTTTGATGAAAAAGGTATATACTGATCTTCGAGGGGCAATTAGGTAAATCAACCGAGTGAATGTGGAAGCCTAGGTCTAGAAGCAAAAAAAGCGTTTGAATCGTTGCGACATTCATCTCGGCCTATGATGGTTATGACGGCGGTCTGTATAATTGAGTCTCGACCAGACAATCCAGTGATATGATATCATGGGCATCGATTTACGCAATTGACATACCATGACATGCATCAACCAAGTCAGCGAGCCTGACCACCCGTTAGTCGCAACAAGCATTGGTTGCTGAAGAGCTTTTCTAACCCGGGTGTTCACGGGTCTCTTGGACTATGATAAATTGTAGGGTAAGATCGGTCGTAACGCCGCGAACGTTTTGTAGATCGGCACCCTAGTTGTTATATGCAGGGTAATGTTGTCCCACCCATGTTTCAGATGACGGGTTTATACTGACCCGGGTGCTGACAACCTCTCACGTCAGGCGGAGTTTGTTTGTTGGTGCCGGCCTCCAGTTCTTCCAACAAGTCTGCGGCATCAACACTGTTATGTAAGTATAGGCGTAGCTTGTACACAACGGAAGCTTCATCCGGGACAGTACATTGTTTAATCAGGGTAATTCCTAATCAGGATTTCGACAGATTGACATACAGTAAACTACGGTTATAACGAACTCAAAGAGACCACTAGTTTTAGTTCGTTATAACCGCAGTTCGTTATAAGCATATATATATATATATAGCATGTATACAGCAAATGGCCGGGGGAAAACAGTTAGTTATATCCGTCTTTTCGTTATAAGCGTGTTCGTTATAAACGTAGTTTACTGTACCATCAAATATTTAGGTGGTGGTGGATAGGGTGAGGTGTGTATGTGTATTGGGGGATGGGGATGGTGGTTGGGGGTGGGACTTGGGGTGTGTGTGTGGCAGCACTAGACACACTGGGTGTCCTTAAAACATTGTTTTGTGAAAAAGAGCAAACATTGTTCAGCCCCTCGTTTCGAAGACAGAATTGTATGTATGTAACAACCCTGTGTCAACGACCGATCTTCAGTCATCCATTCATATTATTTTTACCGCCTTTCACGCCCAATGTGATGTGTTTCGGCTGATTATGGAGGCTGGTGATTCTCTGGCGTTGACGTTATGAAGTGATGTAACTAACGAGGAACATCACTCAGTATGGGAAAACTCTTCGTCTTGACATTGCTTTCGTCCTTTGTTCGTCGTAATCGCCGTTAACCTTTTCTAAAACTGGTCTGTTTTGAATAATTATTTGATTATGATTTTATGCATCGTGGGAAGGAAATCAACGAAACAAAACCTATTCATGCGTGTTATATAATGCATTACTCAGCACAGAATAATATAAAACAGATGTAATCATCACTGGTTTGTCGCTATTTACAGCTACTACAGTGCGACTATCATGAGGATGGCCGGCATCTCCGTGCAGCACGCTATCTGGCTGGTTGTGGCACCCAACGCAGTTAACTTCCTGGCCTCATTCATCGGCATGTACCTGGTGGACAGGCTGGGCAGGAAGGTGTTGCTCCTCTGTAGCTTCGTGGGTACGTAGACGTGTTGTCTGGGGTGGGGACGGATGGGATGGATGACTGAGGGGGTGGGGGACTGATGGGATGGATGACTGAGGGGGTGGAGCACAGAGGGGTGAGGACAGATGGGAGGGATGGCTCAGGAGGCGGAAAACAGAGGGGTGGCAGACAGATTGGATGGATGACTGAGGGGGTGGAGCACAGAGGGGTGAGGACAGATTGGATGGATGACTGAGGGGGTGGAGCACAGAGGGGTGAGGACAGATGGGATGGATGACTGAGGGGGAGGAGCACAGAGGGGTGAGGACAGATAGGAGGGATGACTGAGGGGGAGGAGCACAGAGGGGTGAGGACAGATGGGATGGATGACTGAGGGGGTGGGTGACGGATGGGATGGATGACTGAGGGGTGGGGGACTGATGGGATGGATGACTGAGGGGGTGGAGCACAGAGGGGTGAGGACAGATGGGATGGATGACTGAGGGGGTGGAGCACAGAGGGGTGAGGACAGATGGGATGGATGACTGAGGGGGTGGGGGACTGATGGGATGGATGACTGAGGGGGAGGAGCACAGAGGGGTGAGGACAGATGGGATGGATGACTGAGGGGGTGGGTGACGGATGGGATGGATGACTGAGGGGTGGGGGACTGATGGGATGGATGACTGAGGGGGTGGAGCACAGAGGGGTGAGGACAGATGGGATGGATGACTGAGGGGGTGGAGCACAGAGGGGTGAGGACAGATGGGATGGATGACTGAGGGGGTGGGGGACTGATGGGATGGATGACTGAGGGGGAGGAGCACAGAGGGGTGGGGGACAGATGGGGTGCAGTACAGAGAGGATGGAGCACAGATGGGGTTGAGCATAGAGATGGTGGAGCATGTATAGATTAACATGTTTATAAACTCGCTTATCTCGAAGGAAATGGATAATACAGATATATATCATGATACACATTCTTGCATCTTATCCAGGTGTGTTCTTCTCCCTTGGTGTCCTGGCTACCGGCTTTCAGCTTTCCTCCATTAATGCCCCACCAATCAACGTCACGGAGACATTCAACAATGAGACCTATACCGGTGCTTGTAACAAACTGTACAGGTAACCTCCACTTAACTCACCTGTGTAACACTGTATCGTCATCAGTACAAGTATATCGATGTCGAGCTAGAATTTGTCCTTGGACAGCTGAACACCATATATGCCGTTGAGAACACCGCCAGTCGTCCACAGTCACAAGATGTACAATAGTAGAGATGCCTTCAAGGCCCATGTTTTGCAATTTTCGACTGTTTTTGCGCAGTATGTTTTCAAGTAGACGACCCTCTGGTTTAAATATTTATCGCTTATTTTCCGTCATGATAATTATTGCTGAAATAATTGAAGAATCGGTGTTACAAACTGAAACAATTATATATTAACCCAGAAATCTGAACGAAGGATTTCGCGTGAAACCAACAAACAACCAACAAATGGTATAAAATCAACAATTATGATACAAAATTGACTAGGTTTACAAATCAATACAAGTTACTGCCCAGCAATGTGAAAACTACACAGATGAAATGTGAGATGACAGGCAGGCGTAACTTAGTCTAACGAGCTTCCAGCACTTTCCACACAGTGCTTGACCAGTCACCAGAAAATCACAGAATATTCCACGTTTCTATAACGCTTGACATCCGCCCATGCTATTGCGGAAGTTTTCAGATAATTCGAGCCATTCGTGACTAATATAACTCGTCTTATTCCGGGACAAGCGTCTTGCAGGTTACGGAAAGTGTCGACGAATGAATCCGAGTATCTAAAGATAATATCCACACAACTGCTTACTTTGAATAGTACTATATTCCTGACAACTAATCAATGTCCAAATACAGTGCAATGAACTTCTACTGAATATCAACAGAAACAATGTAATACAGTTACAATCATTGTTTAACAATAAATTACACTGCCATAGAACACATAGCTCACCCTCTGTGTCAGATGTGAACACATGGCGTCCATGTAACACTATATTGCTTCGCCACAGGTCTCTATAAACTTACGGTACATATTTGATATATTTTCACGTGATAGGCACATGAGTCGAAGAACCCACAATTAAGGGCAGTTCTATTTCATGTCCTCAGCAACTGCGATGAGTGCACCACCAACACCGACTGCGGCTTCTGCTACGACGTCACCACAGATGGGTCATGTCTCCCTGTAGATACTAACGACGAAGGTCGCTCATTGGTTGGCCGCTGTAATGCCAGTGACGAACCAGGGTCCGCCTTCATGTTCGCCTACGGGTATTGTCCAAACAACTACTCATGGATGCCTGTTCTCGGGATGGTGCTGTTTGTGTTCTCATTTGCACCAGGTGAGGCCAAAAGTGTATTTGCAAACATTTGACTTCCTGACACACAGCGCAATCATATCACTACCTGAAGTGTAAGTGTATCTCGCACAATTATGATAATATAGAGCAAGACTCCGTGCTACGCATGCTCAAAGTATGTCGTTATTATCAGGTCAATGTGCATGTGCACTAATTCTCAACTTCCTTGGGATAACACAACCCATGATGAATTGAGGTGTCAGACATTTTACATGAACATTTTGAATTTTCCTTATAGTAATTGATTAGCATGTAAATTTACTGTTGGTTTGTAAAAAAATGTACTTGAGGACCATCCACCGTTACAGAAATGACAATGTTGTTAGCATGTGCTTATGTTGCTAAGGTCTTGGCCCAATACCGTGGACCGTAAACTCGGAGATTTATCCCCTGTGGGCACGTGGCACGTGCACGGCCCTAGCAGGTGCAACAAACTGGACATTCAACCTGCTCATCTCCCTCACGTTCTTGACCCTTACAGAGACCATTACCAAATATGGTGAGTCGCATGTGCATTACCATATATAGTCAAATAAGACGACCTCCATGTAGAGTATGACATCGTGTGTACGTCTAAGGTTAATGTGACCAGACCGTAACGGTAATAGGACGTTGCCCCTTTTGGCAACGCCTCCCTGCTTGCTGACTAGAACATCTGCAGTTTGAACCAGTCGAGGGATTAACTGATTGGGTGACTTGTCAGCTTATCGCCGGGGGAAAGAGAGACGCCAGTCGTAGATCATTACCAATTTGGTTCAATCTACGAACACGGAAAAAAAGCTAAAAGACTCAACTTGAAATAACCTAATCTGATATAAACAGAGGTTCCAACCTGTTATCATGTTATCCTGGTGTGGTAAAGGGAAGTAACTCTACACAGAGAATTGCGGCGCTCCTTGTGCCTCCTCATATGATAAGGCACTGAGTTCATAGTGACCACGAAAAGGCGGACGTCACGTGTTTATTGTCTCAATTTACCCATGCTAGCTCACACGCGCACATTCTACATTCAGTCTTTCCGACATTTCGATCTGTCGGTAGTGCCAATCACCGGCTCATATTCGTCATATGTCAGCTCTCTATGCACAGAAGGCCTCAGTACGGTTCTAGTAGTTTGGGAGGTTCATTATGATGACCTTGTGCTCATGTGGTTGCACATGATTCTATAGGGCCGTTAAGATTTCAATAGGATGTCCTTGAGAATAACAACCTCTGTCATGAAGAATTAAGCTTCTTGTTTACATGTTGTTGTTTTTTGTTGTTTAACGCCGCACACAGCAATATTCCAGCTATATGACGGCGGTCTGTAAATAATCGAATCTGGACCAGACAATCCAGTGGTTGACATCATGAGCATCAATCCACGCAATTTGGATACGATGACATCCATCAACCAAGTCAGCGAGCCTGACCACCTGATCCCGTTAGTCGCCTCTTCCAACAAGCATAATCGCCTTTTACGGTGTTTAACATTAATATATAAATATCTTTTTAAAACATATTTAAAAAGTGTATGTGCATCAATGACGTGATTAGATTAAAACAAGAGCTAGAACTACAAATGCAATCATAGTTTAAAGCTTTCGATTTATTTGTTTACGTTTTCAATAACACTTGTTTACTTTGCTTATAGGAACCTTCTGGCTGTATGCTGGCATGTGCGTGGTCGGGTTTGTCTTCGTTTTAATATTCCTCCCAGAGACTAAGGACAAAAGTCTTGAAGAAGTGGAACAGTTATTTATGACTTCCGGATCACGTGAGGAGAAGATTCACTTCCTGCACGCAGACGCACTGAGCAAGCAATACACTCCCGGCACGGCAGATACAGAAACCACGTTAGGTTCGGATGCTTGACAAAACTAGTTCTATTGTTGTTGCATGTTACTTTTACCGCTGAACCCATCATTATCAATGTCTGTGATAAGCAAAGTTATGACCACATATTTTTATAGATATCAATAGTTATATCTATATTTATATATCATATTATATATAATATGTATACACGTATGGTTGTTGCAATTCTGACACGCAGAGAAACGTTGTTGATTGGAATCAATGTGGAATTGTTTTGTTCCGACTGCAGTCATGTGTATCACAACCAGGGCATCGAGACCTGTGAAGATCAGGGGTAAAACAGGTCTTCAGCAACCAATGCTTGTCGTAAAAGGCGACTATGCTTGTCGTAAGAGGCGACTAACGGGATCGGGTGGTCAGACTCGTTGACTTGGTTGATGCATGTCATCGTATCCCAATTCCCTTGATCGATCTCACGATGTCAATCACTTGATTGTCTGGTCCAGACTCGATTATTTACAGAACGCCGACATATAGCTGGAATATTGCTGAATGCGGCGTTAAACAAGAAACAAACAAACACCCTGTGCCAGAAATGAGTGTTATGCTGGAACAAGTGCATCACCTTGTCTGAACCAGAGCATCACTGGGATCGGAACAACTCGAATTGGATTTTAAAGTATAATTTGTTTAAAACAAAACACACTCTCGAACAAATGATCAATTTCTTGTATGATTATGCTTGATGATGTATGTTGACAATCAAACATGAGATTTATTTTAAAGATTTCATAGAGTGCAGCCTCAAATAATACTCAAGTGTCCCTACTATTTTCCAAGCCTCCATTTGGCTATTTAATTACAGTAATCACAGATCATTGAGAGTCGAATGCACTTGACAATGCTCTCGCTAAATTACAGCTGATACAGCCGACAGCTGATACAGCCATTCATTACTATTGTCATATGAATACAAGCCTACATATGGCGGAGTTGTTCATGACGTAACGATAAACGTGGACATCATAGAAAACACATATCAAATGCTGCCACTACCAGCTGACGTTCTTGCCACGCCCACCATTACTTGGTTTGTTTACTGTTTGAGAAAACCCGTTTCGTGGTTCATGAACAATGTTGTTAAATTTTCGAGGTGATATCAAAACGTTTTTAGCCTGGCACATCTAGGTTATTGGTATGCTTAAGGAAAGAATGTTGATAAACAATTAATGCAACGACAACATTTCAGTATTATTCATGCCAAGTTCAAAACGTCTTGATTCAAACCTCAATGTCATTTAGCAGTTCGTTATTGAGAAATATTTGTATAGGTTTTTTTATATATATATTTATGTGTATCTTTTAGTTCCAACAATGACAACAGCAACACACATTAAAATGCATTTAATTTCATTATATCAATTGGATAGAACTCAGTAACACGTACTGGTATATAATGATACAATATGGTACATATAGCTACATAGACACATAGTAATACTTCATGGCCCCTAGTATTACATAGTGGTAATTATACTTTACATAAATACATCATGGTGCACAGAATACACAGTCATGTATAATGGTAATTTTAATCTACATAAATATATCATGGTACATGGAATACAAAATGGTAATTATACTTTACATATATACATCAAGGTGCATGGTACGTAGAATACATAATGGTAACTATACACGGTACTTTACACAAATACATCATGGTACATGATACAGGGAATACAAAATGGTAATTATACTTTACATAAATGCATAATGGTACTTATAAATACAAAGTGGTACATAAACATAATATTACATAATGCTAAATAGTAATGCATAATGGTACATAGAAATAGATATGTGCAAAACGATGCTCATGGTGTCAATCCCTGGATTGTCTGGTCCAGACTCGAGTATTCACAGATTGCTGTCATATAGCTGGATTTTTTTTCTGAGTACGGCTTGAAATAACACAGACAGATACAGTGGTACACAGTAATGCATAATACTACATGATACACAGAAATACGCATGTAAACACACTCGCACATTATTGACCTCACATGTAAACACACTCGCACGTTATTGACCTCACATGTAAACACACTCGCTCGCACGTACTGTCCCAGCCATGGCCACACGCACTACTACAGGTATGTGGGTTAACGTTGCAGCAGCCACGTGGTTGATCCTCACCTCGCCCTCAGTGTTGTCTCTTCCCCACAGCGTCCATGGTGGACACCTCACTCACTCACTCACTCACCTCGTCCCCTATGCGTCTTTTCAAAGACTTGCAGCGGTAGAAACTAACACTTTTAGTCCACTAGTCCTTATAATGATAACATAGAGGAAAACCCTTATTAAAAAGGGCAAATTTCTACAAGTCCTTGTGATACCTTAACCATTGGGCAGTTTGGCTAGGACGACAGGACTAGTGCCAATTTCTAACGCTGACATGTCGGCTCAGTTTACTGTCAGTGTACTGTGTCTAAGTGGGGTGTTCATGTTAAACTGCGGCATGGTATCTCAGTGAGCTAGCACCATAAAACCGGCAGTAGTCCGGATTTGCACAAGCAGCCACACACACACAAACACACACACACACACACACACACATGCATGTCGCTGCATAAGTGCAGTAATCTTGAACGCGACGTTGTACCCCATTACACCTGACCATCATATAACTGAAATACTGCCCACACACTCACTAACAGAACACCCTACGTCACAATCAGTAGACTCTGGAGACGAGGTTTCTTTCAACCGACATTGTTACTCTGTCAAAGCATGAATAAACTGTATGAAACGTTAACATGCGTTGTGATGTATTGAAAGAAGATTGTGTAAAGCGCACCTGCCGAACACCAGCATTCAAGTTAAGTTAAGTCAGCAAGATATACTCTTAAATTACTCTTAAATGCTAGAATGGCATTGGACGTACATCTACTTTCTCACTCTATCATCGAATCGGTACGGTCCACACGCGACACGATAGATAAGGCAGGTAACTCTAACAGTCTTGAAGTGATTTTGCGACATACAATTGGTCTACTTGGGGTTTAAGATCGATCTGTAAGGGATAACAGTGAAGACTGCAAATAATATGTATTCTAGTCGACTACATAAGACAGCAGACAAGATAACGGTGCCAGTAAATGAAAATCGAGGACGGGTAATTTGCGATCGCAAGAATCACGGGAATGGGTCGAGGGGTTGGTGTAGGTTTATCGAAATACGAGCCCTGGAGATACAGAGTATGGCTGTACACATATGCATGCCGCACGGACAACACAAGGCTCCGGCCCAGTGACGATCATAACACCACTGCCACAGGCTAATTTGCATATCACGGACTTTTCTCTTGTTTGTAAACAAACGTGCTAATTCTGAAATCAGTGCAGTCCAGCCGAGTGACCATATCGCTAGATCTCTACAGTGCTTCGAAGACAGAACGTGGAGCCGCATAACCAAAGTAAACAAGTGAGTGGGTGAGTGAGTATGGGTTTACGCCGCTTTTAGCAATATTCCAGCAATATCACGGCGGGGGACACCAGAAATGGGCTTCACACATTGTACCCATGTCGGGAATCGAACCCGGGTCTTCGGCGTGACGAGCGAACGCTTTAACCACTAGGCTACCCGACCGCCCCAAAGTAAACAAGGGTAAATACTCAAATGGAAATAGTCGTTCGCGTTCTGGATATTTTCTATGACATATGTTTATTTAAATGTGTAGACTCGTCAAAAGTGAAACAGATGAAAAACATATACAATATATCAAATGGGCTGTGTATGATGTGACGAATCGTCACATGTCGCAGGCCTGTGGCAGAGATACTATGCAGGCCCCTAGGAACTCTGGGTAGGAGAGTGGGGCGACCCGTTCATCATACTCGGTCCTGATTGGCCTGCTATGTCACGTGACTATAATTCACGGATATCGCTATGTTTAAAGTGACCACATCATAATGTTTACCAACCCATGCTTGCCGTAAAAGGCGACTACGCTTGTCGTAAGAGGCGACTAACGGGATCGGGTGGTCAGGCTCGCTGACTTGGTTGATGCCAATTGTGTAGATCGATGCTCATGATTTCAGTGATCCAGACTCGATTATTTACAGACCGCCGTCATAAAGCTGGAATATTGCTGAGTGCGGCGTAAAACAGCATGAAACAAACAAATATTATGTTTACATCTCACATTCATTCTTAGTAACCCGCGTGATCTTGCTGGAATATTAGTAAACAAATCTCACACTTCCGTGAGTTGTCGTGAATCAGATATACAATGACAGTGTCATCCAAGCCACCATCTTTACCAGCATCCAGCGAGTGAGCATGGTTTTACGCCGCTTTCAGCAATATTCCAGCAATATTACGGCGGGGGACACCAGAAATGGGCTTCACACATTGTACCCATGTCTTCGGCGTGGTTAAAGTGTTCGCTCGTCATGCCGAAGACCCAGGTTGGATTCCCGACATAGGTACAATGTGTGAAGCCCATTTCTAGTGTCCCCCGCCGTGATATTGCTGGAATATTGCTGAAAGCGGCGTAAAACAATACTCACTCACTCACTCATATGTGGAAGCACGGTGTCGTCTAAAAACGTATTGAAAAGAAACAAAATAATAGATTCATAACCTATCCATGTTCAACCCAGACATTTGCCGTCAAATTATTCCCCAACTACGTAGAAATGTGTATTACCCACATGTGGACATGCTAATTGGGAGACAACACCTGCTGTGTTTTGACATTTGAGGCCGTCTAACTGTAGATAAGATCACTTTTATGTTAATTTTGAACAGAGCGCTTTAGATTCCTCCTTTCATAGTAACAAATGCGTGTTTTGAAGAAGTGACCGGGAAAACATCCTGCAAACACAAAGTCGCAGAACCCCAATCCTAGATTATCAATTGGTTGGTCCCTAACCACCTGTTTTGATCCACGCGCCTTTTACATGCCTCGCCCTTTAAGGCAGAACTTCACCTGATGAAAAGTCGGTATAAGAAAGATATTAAACTTTTTCAACAAATAGAGAAACGTCAACGTGTTTGGGATAACATCTTTATTTCCGTTATCCGTAGTTCAAGCCAAACAGATTACAGAAACAGAGATCAATGACAAAATGATCTTCAGATTTAACATATTTATCGATTTGCGTTCGCAAGGTTTGATTATAAATCATGAAGTACATTAGAAACATACAGACAGAAAATACGAGGGGTGATTGGTATGGTCTCAGACTCACATAAAAACACTTGACCAAAATACATCAAAATGATCTATTTTCCAACATTATCCCCATCCCCAATGAAACACGTTTGCCAACAGTGTTTGGCCAGTTTTGTTTTTCTCCCGACTATCCAAAAACTTCTCTACGGATGCTATGACGTCATTGTTGATGTCAAAATGGGTTCCAGCAAGAGCTTTCTTCATTATTTTGGGAACAGCTGGAAGAATAAGATTGGTGCTTCAGGAATATCCGTGGATTGTATCCATGACAATGACTGATTTGTGCACTGGCACATTGACCAAATGAAAGTAGACACCTTCTCTCCCCCCCCCCCCCCCCCCCCTCACCCTGTAATTGCTTCAATATATCTGGCCCTTTGGAAGATCATCCATCGTAATGACACCATCGTCATCCCAGGAAATTGAGTTCATTAACTTTCCAGCCGATGGAACAGTCTTTGCCTTCTTCGGTGGTGGTGATGTCAATGTTTCCACTGTTTTGGTTGTTGTTTGGACTCGGACTGGAAGTGTTGAACCCAGTTTCATCCATTTGTCACAAATCGTTGCAAGAACCTTTCTAGATCAGCTGCAAACAGAGCTAGATTATATTGAGATGTAGTGCCTGGTGAGTGTTTGATCAGTGACTTTGAAACCCAACTAGCTGATATTTTCTTCATTGCCAAAGTTTCCGTGATAATGGAATGAACTGAGTCTCTCTCCTGGTAATTGCCTACTAAACAAGCCTGTCGGACATCGCCATATTGTGGATTCTCTGGATAATTTCTGATGTTGTTGACGTGACAAGTTTTTCGTGACGGGGGTCGTCACGCCTAAGCTCTGCTGTCCATCTCTTAACGGTGGCATAGGAGGTGAGTAGAGGTGAAATGGGGTTGGCGTCGCGATACCATGCCGCAGTTTAACATGAATACCACACTTAGACACAGTATACTGACTCCCTGCCGACCAGTCCTTGTTTTAGCCCCTTAATGCCGAGCGCCAGACTAGCTGACGACAAGTACCACCTTTTAACGTCTTTTGGTATGTAGCGGCCGGGTATCGAAACCCGGATCTTACGTTCTCCTGGCGGAGGCTCCATCACGTAGGAAGGGGGATCCTTCCCTGGTGTTGTGGTCACATATTCATGGATCGCGTTCCGCACAAATCTCATTAAAATCAGATCTTAGTTCTCGCTAAACAAAGATCTGAGGACATCCCATTACGGGTCACGTCAGACCGACCTTGCGCGAACTTTGACCGACCAATGGAATGACCAATCAGAAGTCAGCTTTCTTGTGCTTTACGGCACTAATTTCAAATTGGCGACTACGCTTCGAAACATATTTTGACAAATTCTCGATTACAAATTTAAAACCTAAACAAAAGAACATTCTTGAATGGCTAACAGATGGTCTAGATTGTATGGATTCAGTCGTTAAACCCGTAACTATCGTTCGGAATACCCCTTGTTAAAGTGTTCGAGGTTGTATGATTAGAAATCACATTTCGACTGTCACTTTCATGATCTGGTAAGCAACGTTCTGATTAGTCGGATGAAAGGTCGTTCTGATGTGACCCCTGATCTTTGTTTAGCGGTAGCGAGAACTAAGGTCTGGTTTTAATGAGATTGCGTTCCGCACTTTTGTCCATGTTCCAAAGCTCACAGAGCCCTGCTTATTTACTGAATTGCTAAGCCAAATAATGTGTTCATTTGACTCAGGTATTTGTAGATATACCTCTATGACATCTTGTAATGTACACAGCAAAGGTTTCCCTTATATTACGAAATTCCTTCTATGTAAGGCTTAGAACTTATCAATCAACCCTCCTATATACATGTACAGATATCCATGTGTAGGCACGTGTATGAGAATAATAGACACGTATTAGCCCTTCTCAGGTGAATCAAGGGCAAGAAGTAGCCTCGAAAAGTTGGCCTCCGTACTATTTTATGCAAATACGAACGTTATACACATTTTCAGTGTTACCGTGAGGCTTTCCTTCCACAATTCTCTGAAGGCTATTTCAACTCATGGTCGACATGGTAACTTCATCAACTTGCTCAGTCCTCTTCTGTTGCCCTCTTACTCGACAACGTAGCAGCGCCCAGTACCCCTCCCTTACTTTGGGGGACACAAGCCACAGAAGGGGGGTCACTCCCGAGTTGGCAAATGCCAACCAATACGATGAGCTATGCACTATGTACGTGGTGTATACGCCCATCGTGTTTAGAAGGGATAATACATTTAAAGGCGCCCACATCAATACAAAGACAACACTGACTATGACAACTCCTACGATCTGTTTCTTGGGGGACTCGTCCTGCAGGTGCCTCAACTCACCCAAGTTCATAAGTATCCCGATATTGACGCAGATTGATACAAATGTCGGAATGAAGAAACTTATTACTATTGATACTATTTGGGAAATCGGGCCTGCATCATAATAGCATTGATTACCGTACATCGCAAATGTTTGGAGTATGGCGATAGCCGCGCCTGTCGCCCATGGGAACGTTATGATGAGACAAGTGAAACAGCAGCTGGCCACCCTCCTCGTTGTCCGGCTGCTGTGTTTCAGATACACCAAGCGCTCGCAGCTGATGACTACAAGAGCGACGATAGAAACAGTGCTTAATAGAATGTCAGAGGTGGTCCAAACCTGGCAAAGGACTCCTCCAAACGCCCAGTACCCTGTGTAGTAATTGTGCGAGCTTAATGGTACAATCGCCACACCCCTCAGTAGGTCAGCGACTGCGAAGTTGATGATGAGAAGCCAGAAGAGGTTGCGGCGTCTGGTGTCGTCCATGAGGATGCTGAGGATGAGGATGGAGTTGGAAACGATGATCCATATGGCGAGGATGGCGCCAAAAATACCAAACATCCTATGACCCAAGTCTACCACAGTTGAGACGTAATCCTCTGTCTGGTTCAAACCGAAGGTTTCCATGACGAAACTGCAAAACAGTGAACATTTAAACCCTTCGAAATAAATCTCTTTTGGTTGCCATTATGTATACCCTGTTACATCTTGTTGGCTTTGGTATGTACCCCCTGTCTCCAATCGAGGGCTGTTACTATTTACACCCCTGTCGTACCTTGTTGGCTGTTGTCTGGCAGTCAGTATCTCTCCGTGACAACTCTTGTTTGCTGTTACAACCCACACCCTATCAACCAACTCCTGTGTCCTGTGACTACCAAACCAAGAGTTTAAGACAACAGCTTACCTTGACACTATTTTGGAATGATGATTAAATCAGTGTAATTTGTAAGTGTAATTTTATTTTTTATTTTTTCGTCATTTTATCATTTGTGGAGAACAAAAGCCACTACTATACAGCAATATACGTGTCCGATAATGTTTATGAAGGAGCCTGTTTACGCGAATTACAAAGTATTCCCTTGAGACGAAATAAAAACAGAAACATTTGTCACTTTAAGTCTGGGATGAGATGACAGTAACGGAAACTTGACATGCCACACATGTACGTTATACTCTGTAAAACAGCGTGTAAACAGCGAGGACAGGAATTCCAATTACATGCTTAAATTCATATCGTATAAAGGTTACATTGTTGTCCGGTTAGGATTTACTGTAGGTCGTTGCTGAATAAGTGTACTGACGTGTTTATTCTAATATCCCAGACTGTGTTCTCGCGTTCTGTTCACTGAATGCTGATTACCGACGGAAACATTATTGTATTACATTCCTCATAAATGTCAGCGAATCAACACGGACTATTTCCTGAAAGACACATGAAACACAGCGCGTCACAATGACTCATAGAAAGGGTTAGAGTAATTACATGCGGGGAAAACGCAAGAAGCTTGATTTGACATTTCGATTTTGACACTGGTTGGGACATATTCTACTGTTCCATTACTTCAGGCAGATATCTTCTCATTACATATGTATCTGCTCATGTAATGACATGAAAAGTGCCCCCGTCAGGCAGATATCTTCTCATTTCATATGTATCTGCTCATGTAATGACATGAAAAGTGCCCCCGTCAGGCAGATATCTTCTCATTTCATATGTATCTGCTCATGTAATGACATAAAATGTGCCCCCGTCAGGCAGATATCTTCTCATTTCATATGTATCTGCTCATGCAATGACATAAAATGTGCTCCCTTCAGACAGATATCTTCTCATTTCATATGTATCTGCTCACGTCTTGGCATGAAATGTGCTCCCTTCAGACATTTATATGTTCATGTAATCGCGTGTTATGTGCTATGTGTTATTTGACATACAGATACAAATTATCTGCTCATTTATTTTAGTGACATGAAATGTGCTCTCCACACACGATTAAAAACGTACCTGAAGGGAGCGGCAAGTTCTGACCAGAGCTGATACACCTGGCGGCAGTGTAAACTGACCACAGAGTCAGCTAAACAATGTCTCTCCTCCGACCAGAGCTGATACACCAAGCTGTTGCAGTGTTAAATCACCAAAGAGTCATCAAAGCATTCTCTCTCCTCCCACCAGAGCGTTTACTGACCGAGCGCTGATTGTGGATAATTTGGGTCAATTTATTAAATTATGAGTACTTATTCGTAGTTGCGATAATAAGGTCAAACAATTATGACCTTGATTACCATGATGTTTGTTGAACAATTTATTAATTGAACATTTTCCTTTTGTCGTGTAATCTGTGTCGGTGCAATTCTAATCTGCGTCATCCTCCCCAGACAAGGGAATTAACTGACTGTATAAGTCTAGTTTCCACCCTTGCCGAACTACTCTGCAATTTCTGGGCTCGATCGTAGCATCACCAGTGGCTATTACGAGTTATGTACCTTCTATGTCCCTCCTATTGACCAATCAGATTCCATCTCTGATTTGCTTCAAACAAAATGGCGTCGCCCTGTGAAGGCGATCTGATCGATAATCAAGATTTATATTGAAAAAAACCCAGGTCGTACTTCGCTTAGTGCATCAAATCACGTGAGCACCTTGATTAAAAACGTGAAAAGATTTGGAAAATATATGTTGACGACAAATTAACCTGGAACGCCCTGAACTGGGTCGATCGTCAACATTTTGTGTTTGTTGGTGCCCGTGTCATACATAGCCTGCTAATCACATTCTGTAAAACATTGAACATATTGGTTACTACATACTAACAGTTTCCAGCATATCAACTCCATGAGATAGATGCTCCACAGCTGGTTTATACACAAACAATGAATGAAATAAGTACATCAGGAACGACACCCTACGCACGTGTGGCGCTACTGCGTGAACACGTGCAGACTATAGGATGTGTTTTGGTATTAAATTTAACAGACATAAACGTTCTTACATAGCATGTTTGTCGTCAACATTTATCTTCCATAACTTGGAATCAACATTTACGTTTTATTTATAAAAGTCATTTGACAGTATTTTTCAACGTTCGAATTTTTATATGAATCCATTATTGTCCTTGATTTGTGGACATTTTAGCCGTTCTTAATGGTTTCGCCAAAGTTGCAAACATCGAAAACCTCCCCTGGACTCTCCCCACACAAGCAGCCCCGCCGTAGTACAACGGACATAATTCTCAAAGCAACGTAACGCCAACTAACTCATCCCCACATTCTTAAACATAATCAACACGCGACGATCCGGGGTAGAATAGGTCTTCAGCAACCCATGCTTGTCGTAAGAGGCGACTAACGGGATCGGGTGGTCAGGCTCGCTGACTTGGTTGATGCATGTCATCGAATCCCAATTGCGTGGATCGATGCTCATGATGTCCATCACTGGATTGTCTGGTCCAGACTCGGATTATTTACAGACCGCCGTCATACAGCTTGAATATTGCTGAGTGTGGCGTGGAACAACAAACAAACAAAACAAATAAACATAATCATGGTGCTATTTTAGTACACAAATATGTTAAATTTTTGGGTTCTCCAAATGCAGGCTGACAAAATATCAGACTGAAAAGTCATGAACTATTTACATTATTTTGATTAGATCGATCGATACCCACTTGAACACAACACATATGGATATTTAAGACTTTATTATCAAAATCAGTTAAATACTGGCGATAAAGATAGAGAGTGCTTGTACAGCTGGCCGGTGCCTTTCTTGATAGCAAACAAAATGGTAGGGGGTGGAATGGCGCGGGGGGGGGGGGGGGGGGGGGGGATCTGGGGAGTGGATGCGAGAGGGAGGGGCTATGAGGGGATGGGAGGCGCGGGGAAAAGGTTATCCAGGGATGGGATGCAAGAGGGGGGGGGGGGGGGGGGGATCTGGGGATGGGATGCATGAACCTAGGGTCTACCTGGAGATGGGATGCGAGAGGGAGGGGCTATGAGGGGATGGGAGGCGCGGGGAAAAGGTTATCAAGGGATGGGATGCAAGAGGGGGGGGGGGGCTATTGGGGGATGGGGGGCGCGAGGAAAGAGTTATCCGGGTATGGGATGCACGAGGGCGCGTGTACATACAATTACATACCATGTGATGTGACAGCTTTTTCCAAGCCTGTCGATGCGTGTCAGTCATCACACCTAAAGTGTTGGGTTCTCTGACGTTAGACTACTCTCACCAATTAAACTACCATCAAATGTAGTATGGGATACAACCCTTTGCCTGTACCGGAGTTTCAATAAGATTCAGTCAGATTTAAATTAGATGTTATTCATATTATCTTCAAAGCGTTTCCTTGATCATCATCACCAGGCAAAGTACAAACGATTTTAATAAAATACACAGAAACATGCACAGTAATTTAACATATAGATTAAGGAAACAAAATTCCCTTTAAATTTCTTCTATGAATAAATATTAGTATTACCAAGCTAAAGTTGCCGGATGTTTTGTGAAACGGGCATCATGTTTTATTGGGAACCTTAATGTCTACAAGTCGATACGGCTAGGCTCAGATAAAGTTCTTTGACGTAAAATTCCAGGAATATAACCTCAATCTGTTTGTGGATTCGCCACTCAAATATTGCCTTCCGTGCCTGCGTCCTCACTATGCATAACAATCGGCCAAGTAAGCTCCTGTTTCCAGTGTTTAAGCACGTACATCTTATGTTTTCATGTTCTTGTGCTTCTGCCAAACATCGGAGGAGACTGTTATCTCGGCGTTTATGGAATACAGACTTGCATAAGGCTCTACTCTCGTTTATGGCTTCAGTGTTGTTGAGGGGAGGCAACTCCGTGTTGACTTGCTCGCAAAAGGTGTAAGGGGTGTCTGTGTGTGTGTGCGTGTGTGTGTGTGTGTGTGTGTGTGTGTGGGGGGGGGGGGGGGGGGGTGTTCTGGGATGGGAGGGATCGCTTGGGGTATGATATAGTCGGATGATAAAAAAACACAAAAGTATACATGTTAATATCACACACAATAACACAGAGGCAGAAAAGAGATTTTTGAAGGTGGTGGTTCAAATTTTAATTTATCACCCAAAACTGGCCTCCACGGAAGATATGGCATGGGTGAGATCAGGGTACATAGCAATGCTTTGCAGACCATTTTGACGTCTTCGGGTACCCAGGGGTCACATTCAAATGACATATCTAACCTCTGTCTTATTACTGATTACAAACTGCTGGAAGAATGATTTTAATATGACATATATAATCTTACCCTCGTGTCTTTCAAAAATCAAATATATCAACTGTTTGATATGTTTGCAGATCTGAACGAGTCGAGTTGAAAAATGTCCATAACTCCACTACTTGCCACTAATTGTCCAAAACATTAACAATCGAGTGTTGACATAACAGCGAGTGAGTGAGAGAGTTGGGTTTAATGCCGCTTTTAACAGTATTCCAGTTATATCACGGCGTGTCAGCTTGTGGGAGGAAAGCCCGAAGTGATGCAGGTCTCAGACGTTTACCACTTCGGTGAAACCCACGAGCACGGGTATGGTGCTGACAAACCTAGAAACATAATCGGGGCGAACCGGAGTTCGAACCCACAATCATAGATTTCTGGCGTGCCCAAGGGACGCAACATTGCACAGCGAATCGCGGCGCCTTAGACGACTGGGCCACCTGTGCCCCCGTTGATATAACGGTCACTCGGTGCTATTCTCTATTTCCTCACCTCAGTGGGTGTTAAATTTTGGATGTACAAGTGTATTTAAATAATACAGAGATATTCAGTTCTGTTCACATCTATGGATTTTCCTAAAGGGGAAGTCGAATCCCGCAACACACAATCCCCCGGTCGCTTCTACACTGGATATATCCAGTTATTATGAAACCAGCATCTTTTCCTCACTAAACCCATCTGGCCAAGGATTAGAATGCGCATCAGCTCAACGCACATTCACACGCTCAAGAGTATCACAGCCCAACCAGGGGAATCCTGTCGGGAGATATGAGAGACGTCAGCCATCAAATGTAGAGACGTCAGTCATCAAATGTAGAGACGTCAGTCATCAAATGTAGAGACGTCCTTCATCAAATATAGAGACGTCCTTCATCAAATATAGAGACGTCCTTCATCAAATGCAGAGACACTGTCTGATCCTATAACACAGACTGGCGTTAAACTTGGACCGAAGGGAGACAATCTGTAGTAACGTGGGCTTCAAGGTTCAAGGTCACACACATGATCAAGACTGGTTGGTTGGCACTAACAAACTATATATTCCATGCTGTCCCGTCTACTATGTATACCATGTTGTGAAGAATCTCCAAACCTCAGCGTCAGAAGACTTCATTCACTCATATATTCAACAAGATTCCTAAAAATCGAATTATTTAAAAATAGCCTCATTATCAACACAATTCTCTCACCAAAGGATATTCAACTTTCCAAAGACTCCACACTTCAGCATGTTTCTAAAACACCGTTACCGGGTGCTTTCGAATCTTTCTACTTCATCAACTGACCTTGTTCCAAGTATTGTCATCCTGCCTCATAAACATCGCAACACAGCGATTCCTTCTAAGTACCAACTGGCAGTTACGGCTGATCTTTTTTCGAAGAAACTAGAACATTTCATCCCTTACACATATAAGCTTTGAATGAGTGAATTTGGCTTAACGCCGCTTTGAACTATGTCACATTATTCCAGTTTTTCACGGCGTGTCAGTTTAATGTGTTAGGGAAACCCGAAGTGATGCATGTCTCAGACGTTTATCACTTTGGTGAAACCAAAAAACATCAGGGCGCTGAAACTTCAGGGCGTTGAACCCAAGATCATGTTGTCTGGCATGCGTATGGGGCGCATCCCCCTTGAACTGTTATCATGTTTCTGTATCCTTCAGCTCAAACACTTCATCATTATCATCCATCATGGACCTCCTCGCTTCATCCTCATCAACCTCGTCTGAATCGTCCTCCTCCTCCTCCTCCCGTCTGCAACAACACAGCAACGCCCGGAATCCCTCCCTCACTTGCGGGAACACCAGCCACAGAAGGGGGTTGACCCCCGAGTTGCAGTACCCCATCCAGATAGTGAGTGTAATGATAGCCCTTGGCGGTTTGTATTCCCCTACCGCCATCAGAAGAGACACCACAAAGAATGGCGCCCACATTACGGTGAACACAACGCTGACAATGCACACACAGAATATCTGTCGCTTTGGGTTCTCGTTCTTCCTCTTGAGGGGAAGTTCATCCAGCCTCTGTCTCAACACAAACAACATCAGGAGAATGGCAACGTTGACTCCGATGGCCAAAAACGCCGGCACGAAGAAACTGACAAATAATGACGATATTTTGTAATCTTGTCTCAAAAGCAACATGCAATCGTTCTCCGGGTTGTTTATCTCCCCTTTACCCATGATCCATAGCGGCAGAACGAGCGCCATGCCGACCACCCATGGCAGCATGATCATGAGGCAACACACAATGTAGCGGCTGTGTTCCAGGAACATCCGGGGACAGGTGAGATACATGAAGCGGTCACAGCTGATCATCACCAGAGCGATGATAGACACAGTGCAGAGCAGGACGTCAGAGATGAGCCAGAACTGACACACGTCTTCACCAAGGTCCCACGACCCTCCCAGGAGGTAGTCCGCCATGATTGGGACCACCACCACGCCCACTAGTAGGTCAGCTACAGCCAGGTTGACGATGTGGAGGCAGAAAATGCTGCGGCGTCTGACGTCGTCCATGAGGATGCTGATGATGAGGGCGGAGTTGGAAACGATGATCCATATGGTGAGGATGACGCCGAACACCCCCACGCCCAAGTTGCTTGAGTGGTCCGCCATTGTGTCGTTACCAAGCAACGTGCCCACTGCAACCATCTTGGCTCACCTGAAACAATGTGATATATATGTCAGACTCTAAAGAACGCTTCTCATCTATCTTAAAAGCATAACAAATACGTTAAGATATTACGATTACAAAATATGTATTTTTAAAATATAATGACTTGTGATATAGTACAATATAACGTTCTTGTAAAATCCATTCAACAGAGAAGGCCTGCCAGTCAGCCAATCAGCGTCGCGGCTTCTGAATTCTCGTTATGTGTAAGCAAAGCATTCAAACTAGGACATCTGGTTTCTGTATCGCGAAAACAAACTAAAACGGCAAGTTCCGAAACTAGAAAGTATAGCGGCGCCATTAAATTGTAGTGGATATTTCCGGAATGGTTGTGTTCTGTGTGGGTTCTCATTTATACAAATAAAAAAATAGGTGTGAAAAAATGATGCCGAATCGTATAACAAAGCTGACAGCTGATTGGTTCGAGAACCCACGCAGCCTTCATAAAAATAAGGGGGGTCAAAGTTCGCTAAGGGGTTCTCCTCACGCGACCTTCTATGATTTTAACGAGATTGAATATAGGCAGTACGATGACGGATAGTGCGGCACGGGCAGAATGGTGACTATTACCAGAATGGTGGCTATTACCAGTATGATACAGGCAGTACGGTGATGTGGCTGTATGATAAAGGACAGTGTGGCACAGGCAGAATGGTGGCTATTACCAGGATGATACAGGCAGTGCGATAATGGTTGGCTGTACGATAAAGGACAGTGTGGCACAGACAGTATGGTGGCTATTACCAGGATGGTACAGACAGTACGATAATGGTACGCTGAAGGATAAAGGACAGTGTGGCACAGACAGTATGGTGGCTATTACCAGGATGGTATGGACAGTACGATAATGGTACGCTGTACGATAAAGGACAGTGTGGCACAGGCAGTATGGTGGCTATTACCAGGATGGTATGGACAGTACGATAATGGTTGGCAGTACGATGACGGACAGTGTGGCACAGGCAGTATGGTGGCTATTACCAGGATGGTATGGACAGTACGATAATGGTTGGCAGTGCGATGACGGACAGTGTGGCACAGGCAGTATGGTGGCTATTACCAGGATGGTGTGGACAGGACCACCAGTATATCAACACGAGTTCTGATACCGCGGTGTGTGACCTGCATTGTCCTGCAGTGGATACAGTACGTGACAACAGAATATGTCAACAACATTCATTTAAACATCACAACATGGCAGGAATGTTATAGTTACGTTTCCTTCAGAAAACATCGGTTGATTGCCTTAATCATGCAATGGAAGTATGTTACATGTTGCTGTGTTTCACGTAAAACATTGAACACATAGATCTACATGATAGGACATAATAAACTATTTACCATCAAGTATATGTAATTATACCATATAATTTTCCCTTCCACCCAGCCCTTTCTGACATGCAAAAACCCTAAATGAAGCAAGTCTAGATGTTCCACAGCTTCTGAATCTCCCATCTCACTGACATGGGTCTCCTTTTAAATTAAAATAGAGTTATTTGTTTCCATCAAAATTACATATTTTCAGAGACTAAGCGTTATCCTAGTTAATCTGCTAATATCTGTATTATTTTGTCCTAAACTAAAAAACTTGAAGTTTAGGGTCCTCTTCACATTGTTGTATTTGCGCCGCAGTGATAGTAGCAAGGCTCTGGTAACTTGATTGTGTGAGTGCTACGGAACGAGTCTAAGGTTCCTTTACACTGAGCGATCGTACAGCTACGCTTGTGGTGGGCTTATAGTCGTAAAGTTAATTTGCTTTGTGCATGTGTTGTCAGTGTGTTTGATATCTATATTTACAAATATCTTACCACGCCACCTGAAGAGATAAACAGCGTATGTATAAACCATAATTTAATGTCCTCAATATATATCACACCCATCAGTGCTGCCGTCACGCCACACCACCCAGCAATACCACGATACAGGTCAATTCCATGCGTCAGGGTCAACAATTAGGGGGTCGGGGTTTCTGGGAGTTTCAAAATAGTTTTCCCAGAAATTACTTTAAAAAAAAAATTATACATCAGACTTCTGAAACAAAAAAAGAAATTGTAAAAATTCCTTTGTAGCAAGGCGGATCTTTAACAAGAATAATTAGGCCACTTGTTTGAATTTGATAAAAATATCTGGTTTAGCAGCCGTAGCTGAACATATATCTACACCACAAAGAGTATCAAATAGTCGGTCCCTAATATACAAAAACACAAGGGACAAAGGACAGAGCCAAGCGGAACAGCCGTTGAACGATGCCAGGACAGACGTCTTGTTCTTCAATGGACACAATATTTAACCTCTGTTTCTGCGGTAAAGGGGGCGAGGGTTGGGGTCAGTTGGACGTTGCAGGGTTTCCAAACTCAATATGTTCCTCTGCAAACACAAATTTTATCATGTACAGAATAGCTTAATTACACAGAGATATTTGTCGGACACACAAGCCAATAATTACAATACCGTGACCGAAACTAGATAATGGTTGGTGGACCTTTAGTTAGCTTTATGTAGATCCCAAACGCTACCAGTATTACATGTTTGCACATCTATGCTTCTCCATGATCGCTCCTCACACAGATGACACTATGAAACACACATACGTCACCAGCTCCAACCCATCCGTGATCCTTACACCGCCCAAACGCCATGCAGTCTTAATCAAGACTCTAGTAGGTACGTTGTCTGATCCAACCTTAGATGTGACCTTACTTTGGACGTGGCTAGGTAGCACTAGCATCCAGCAGAGACCATATCCCGATATATGGTCTCTGCATCCATCAACCATCCTGCAGCACCCTGCATCAATCCAACTCTTAAAGTTAGTTTGCTTGTTGTTTAACGCCGCATTTGGCAACATTCTATCTACACCTATATCTACAACGATATACGTAGTCATGCACTACCTATCTACACATATATCTGCCATCTACAACGACATACATAGTCATACATCACCTATCTACACCTATATCTACCATCTACAACGACATACATAGTCATACACCACCTATCTACACCTATATCTACCACCCACAACGACATACATAGTCATACACCACCTATCTACACCTATATCTACCACCTACAACGATATACGTAGTCATACACCACCTATCTACACCTATATCTAACACCCAAAACGACATACATAGTCATACACCACCTATCTACACCTATATCTACCACCCACAACGATATACGTAGTCATACACCACCTATCTACACCTATATCTACCACCTACAACGATATACGTAGTCAAACACCACCTATCTACCACCCACAACGACATACATAGTCATACACTACCTATCTACACCTATATCTACCACCCACAACGATATACGTAGTCATACACCACCTATCTACACCTATATCTACCACCTACAACGATATACGTAGTCATACACCACCTATCTACACCTATATCTACCACCCACAACGACATACATAGTCATACACCACCTATCTACACCTATATCTACCACCTACAACGATATACGTAGTCATACACCACCTATCTACACCTATATCTACCATCTACAACGATATACATAGTCATACACCACCTATCTACACCTATATCTACCACCCACAACGACATACATAGTCATACACCACCTATCTACACCTATATCTACCACCCACAACGACATACATAGTCATACACCACCTATCTACACCTATATCTACCACCCACAACGACATACATAGTCATACACCACCTATCTACACCTATATCTACCACCCACAACGACATACATAGTCATACACTACCTATCTACACCTATATCTACCACCCACAACGACATACATAGTCATAAACGACCTATCTACACCTATATCTACCACCCACAACGACATACATAGTCATACACTACCTATCTACCACCCACAACGACATACATAGTCATACACCACCTATCTACACCTATATCTACCACCCACAACGACATACATAGTCATACACCACCTATCTACACCTATATCTACCACCCACAACGATATACATAGTCATACACCACCTATCTACACCTATATCTACCACCCACAACGACATACATAGTCATACACCACCTATCTACACCTATATCTACCACCCACAACGACATACATAGTCATAAACGACCTATCTACACCTATATCTACCACCCACAACGACATACATAGTCATACACTACCTATCTACCACCCACAACGACATACATAGTCATACACCACCTATCTACACCTATATCTACCACCCACAACGACATACATAGTCATACACCACCTATCTACACCTATATCTACCACCCACAACGATATACATAGTCATACACCACCTATCTACACCTATATCTACCACCCACAACGACATACATAGTCATACACCACCTATCTACACCTATATCTACCACCCACAACGACATACATAGTCATAAACGACCTATCTACACCTATATCTACCACCCACAACGACATACATAGTCATACACTACCTATCTACCACCCACAACGACATACATAGTCATACACCACCTATCTACACCTATATCTACCACCCACAACGACATACATAGTCATACACCACCTATCTCAGGCCACAAAGTTGCGACTAAATTGGTCGCCATGGCGATCTAGTTTTGTATTTTGCGACTGGTATTTTCATGTCAGTCGCCAACTGGCTCCTTGTCTTTAATTAAGTTTGGCGACTAAATGTCTCTTGTCATAAGATATTAAAAAAGATCGTTTTTAATATAAGTGCGTAACTTCGGTGAAAAAATTCGATATCAGAACATAATAACATCGACAAGATCACTGTTGGCCATGTGTTCTGTTTTCGCTTTCGATATGAAGCTCCATACCTGGAATGAAGGAAGCACTTTCCGTTATTAAGTAATGCACTAACGATGTTAAGAGTTTAGTACCCACGCATGCGCTGTACGACATCCGCCCAGGTGACAGCTAAGGCGGTCGTTTCGCCGTTCAAAAACACGAAGTATTTTTCTATATTTGC